GTCTCAAAGGAAGAGTGATGGGGAGATAGACTTTTGAGACGTCTCAAAGGAAGAGTGATGGGGAGATAGACTTTTGAGACGTCTCAAAGGAAGAGTGATGGGGAGATAGACTTTTGAGACGTCTCAAAGGAAGAGTGATGGGGAGATAGACTTTTGAGACGTCTCAAAGGAAGAGTGATGGGGAGATAGACTTTTGAGACGTCTCAAAGGAAGAGTGATGGGGAGATCGACTTTCGAGACGTCTCAAAGGAAGAGTGATGGGGAGATAGACTTTTGAGACGTCTCAAAGGAAGAGTGATGGGGAGATAGACTTTCGAGATGTCTCAAAGGAAGAGTGATGGGGAGATAGACTTTTGAGACGTCTCAAAGGAAGAGTGATGGGGAGATAGACTTTCGAGACGTCTCAAAGGAAGAGTGATGGGGAGATAGACTTTTGAGACGTCTCAAAGGAAGAGTGATGGGGAGATAGACTTTCGAGACGTCTCAAAGGAAGAGTGATGGGGAGATAGACTTTTGAGACGTCTCAAAGGAAGAGTGATGGGGAGATAGACTTTCGAGACGTCTCAAAGGAAGAGTGATGGGGAGATAGACTTTTGAGACGTCTCAAAGGAAGAGTGACGGGGAGATAGACTTTTGAGACGTCTCAAAGGAAGAGTGATGGGGAGATAGACTTTTGAGACGTCTCAAAGGAAGAGTGATGGGGAGATAGACTTTTGAGACGTCTCAAAGGAAGAGTGATGGGGAGATAGACTTTTGAGACGTCTCAAAAGGAAGAGTGATGGGGAGATAGAATTTTGAGACGTCTCAAAGGAAGAGTGATGGGGAGATAGACTTTTGAGACGTCTCAAAGGAAGAGTGATGGGGAGATAGACTTTTGAGACGTCTCAAAGGAAGAGTGATGGGGAGATAGACTTTTGAGACGTCTCAAAGGAAGAGTGATGGGGAGATAGACTTTTGAGACGTCTCAAAGGAAGAGTGATGGGGAGATAGACTTTTGAGACGTCTCAAAGGAAGAGTGATGGGGAGATAGACTTTTGAGACGTCTCAAAGGAAGAGTGATGGGGAGATAGACTTTTGAGACGTCTCAAAGGAAGAGTGATGGGGAGATAGACTTTCGAGACGTCTCAAAGGAAGAGTGATGGGGAGATAGACTTTTGAGACGTCTCAAAGGAAGAGTGATGGGGAGATAGACTTTCGAGACGTCTCAAAGGAAGAGTGATGGGGAGATAGACTTTTGAGACGTCTCAAAGGAAGAGTGATGGGGAGATAGACTTTTGAGACGTCTCAAAGGAAGAGTGATGGGGAGATAGACTTTTGAGACGTCTCAAAGGAAGAGTGATGGGGAGATAGACTTTTGAGACGTCTCAAAGGAAGAGTGATGGGGAGATAGACTTTTGAGACGTCTCAAAGGAAGAGTGATGGGGAGATAGACTTTTGAGACGTCTCAAAGGAAGAGTGATGGGGAGATAGACTTTTGAGACGTCTCAAAGGAAGAGTGATGGGGAGATAGACTTTTGAGACGTCTCAAAAGAAGAGTGATGGGGAGATAGACTTTTGAGACGTCTCAAAGGAAGAGTGATGGGGAGATAGACTTTTGAGACGTCTCAAAGGAAGAGTGATGGGGAGATAGACTTTTGAGACGTCTCAAAAGAAGAGTGATGGGGAGATAGACTTTTGAGACGTCTCAAAGGAAGAGTGATGGGGAGATAGACTTTCGAGACGTCTCAAAGGAAGAGTGATGGGGAGATAGAATTTTGAGACGTCTCAAAGGAAGAGTGATGGGGAGATAGACTTTTGAGACGTCTCAAAGGAAGAGTGATGGGGAGATAGACTTTTGAGACGTCTCAAAGGAAGAGTGATGGGGAGATAGACTTTTGAGACGTCTCAAAGGAAGAGTGATGGGGAGATAGACTTTTGAGACGTCTCAAAGGAAGAGTGATGGGGAGATAGACTTTTGAGACGTCTCAAAGGAAGAGTGATGGGGAGATAGACTTTTGAGACGTCTCAAAGGAAGAGTGATGGGGAGATAGACTTTTGAGACGTCTCAAAGGAAGAGTGATGGGGAGATAGACTTTTGAGACGTCTCAAAGGAAGAGTGATGGGGAGATAGACTTTTGAGACGTCTCAAAGGAAGAGTGATGGGGAGATAGACTTTTGAGACGTCTCAAAGGAAGAGTGATGGGGAGATAGACTTTTGAGACGTCTCAAAGGAAGAGTGATGGGGAGATAGACTTTTGAGACGTCTCAAAGGAAGAGTGATGGGGAGATAGACTTTTGAGACGTCTCAAAGGAAGAGTGATGGGGAGATAGACTTTTGAGACGTCTCAAAGGAAGAGTGATGGGGAGATAGACTTTTGAGACGTCTCAAAGGAAGAGTGATGGGGAGATAGACTTTTGAGACGTCTCAAAAGAAGAGTGATGGGGAGATAGACTTTTGAGACGTCTCAAAGGAAGAGTGATGGGGAGATAGACTTTCGAGACGTCTCAAAGGACGAGTGATGGGGAGATAGTCTTTTGAGACGTCTCAAAGGAAGAGTGATGGGGAGATAGACTTTTGAGACGTCTCAAAGGAAGAGTGATGGGGAGATAGACTTTCGAGACGTCTCAAAGGAAGAGTGATGGGGAGATAGACTTTTGAGACGTCTCAAAGGAAGAGTGATGGGGAGATAGACTTTCGAGACGTCTCAAAGGAAGAGTGATGGGGAGATAGACTTTTGAGACGTCTCAAAGGAAGAGTGATGGGGAGATAGACTTTCGAGACGTCTCAAAGGAAGAGTGATGGGGAGATAGACTTTTGAGACGTCTCAAAGGAAGAGTGACGGGGAGATAGACTTTTGAGACGTCTCAAAGGAAGAGTGATGGGGAGATAGACTTTTGAGACGTCTCAAAGGAAGAGTGATGGGGAGATAGACTTTTGAGACGTCTCAAAGGAAGAGTGATGGGGAGATAGACTTTTGAGACGTCTCAAAAGGAAGAGTGATGGGGAGATAGAATTTTGAGACGTCTCAAAGGAAGAGTGATGGGGAGATAGACTTTTGAGACGTCTCAAAGGAAGAGTGATGGGGAGATAGACTTTTGAGACGTCTCAAAGGAAGAGTGATGGGGAGATAGACTTTTGAGACGTCTCAAAGGAAGAGTGATGGGGAGATAGACTTTTGAGACGTCTCAAAGGAAGAGTGATGGGGAGATAGACTTTTGAGACGTCTCAAAGGAAGAGTGATGGGGAGATAGACTTTTGAGACGTCTCAAAGGAAGAGTGATGGGGAGATAGACTTTTGAGACGTCTCAAAGGAAGAGTGATGGGGAGATAGACTTTCGAGACGTCTCAAAGGAAGAGTGATGGGGAGATAGACTTTTGAGACGTCTCAAAGGAAGAGTGATGGGGAGATAGACTTTCGAGACGTCTCAAAGGAAGAGTGATGGGGAGATAGACTTTTGAGACGTCTCAAAGGAAGAGTGATGGGGAGATAGACTTTTGAGACGTCTCAAAGGAAGAGTGATGGGGAGATAGACTTTTGAGACGTCTCAAAGGAAGAGTGATGGGGAGATAGACTTTTGAGACGTCTCAAAGGAAGAGTGATGGGGAGATAGACTTTTGAGACGTCTCAAAGGAAGAGTGATGGGGAGATAGACTTTTGAGACGTCTCAAAGGAAGTGTGATGGGGAGATAGACTTTCGAGACGTCTCAAAGGAAGAGTGATGGGGAGATAGACTTTTGAGACGTCTCAAAGGAAGAGTGATGGGGAGATAGACTTTTGAGACGTCTCAAAGGAAGAGTGATGGGGAGATAGACTTTTGAGACGTCTCAAAGGAAGAGTGATGGGGAGATAGACTTTTGAGACGTCTCAAAGGAAGAGTGATGGGGAGATAGACTTTTGAGACGTCTCAAAGGAAGAGTGATGGGGAGATAGACTTTTGAGACGTCTCAAAGGAAGAGTGATGGGGAGATAGACTTTTGAGACGTCTCAAAGGAAGAGTGATGGGGAGATAGACTTTTGAGACGTCTCAAAGGAAGAGTGATGGGGAGATAGACTTTTGAGACGTCTCAAAGGAAGAGTGATGGGGAGATAGACTTTTGAGACGTCTCAAAGGAAGAGTGATGGGGAGATAGACTTTTGAGACGTCTCAAAGGAAGAGTGATGGGGAGATAGACTTTTGAGACGTCTCAAAGGAAGAGTGATGGGGAGATAGACTTTTGAGACGTCTCAAAGGAAGAGTGATGGGGAGATAGACTTTTGAGACGTCTCAAAGGAAGAGTGATGGGGAGATAGACTTTTGAGACGTCTCAAAGGAAGAGTGATGGGGAGATAGACTTTCGAGACGTCTCAAAGGAAGAGTGATGGGGAGATAGACTTTTGAGACGTCTCAAAGGAAGAGTGATGGGGAGATAGACTTTCGAGACGTCTCAAAGGAAGAGTGATGGGGAGATAGACTTTTGAGACGTCTCAAAGGAAGAGTGATGGGGAGATAGACTTTCGAGACGTCTCAAAGGAAGAGTGATGGGGAGATAGACTTTCGAGACGTCTCAAAGGAAGAGTGACGGGGAGATAGTGAGGGGGAAAGGCTATTGCCACGGGATGCACCATCACCAGATGCACCTTCGCCCCCACCATGCGCTCCACCAGCAGCAGATTTCCTTCCAGGCCCGGATCAGAGCCTGCCAGCGCCTGGAGGGGGGGGTGATAGGGGGAAAAGGGAAGAATGACACATACACCCTCACCAGATGCACCCTCGCCCCCACCATGCGCTCCACCAGCAGATTGCCCTCCAGGCCTGGATCAGAGCCTGCCAGCGCCTGGTCAGGGGGAAAGAACGAAGTGTAAGGGGAGCAATACAGCATTTCAGATACCTTCAACGCACCTCCCCCTCCCCTCACTCTCCTCAAAGCCCTCGCTAAACCTCCCTCCCCACATCCCCTTCGTCCTCCTCCACCATGCGCGCTTCACCAGCAAATCTCCCCCTCCCCCCCCACTTCATTCAAACCCAGCCACCTCACTCACCCGGCTGGTCCTCAGGATAAGGTGCGCCTCGAGCCCGGCCAATCGCGCGGCGACAGCTGTCGCGCGGCAATGATTGCTCTGGATGCCACCAATAGTAATGAGCGTGTCTGCTCCCTTGGCGAGGGCGTCAGCAAGTAGAAACTCCAGCTTGCGCACCTGATGGTGGTGGTGGAATACATATACATATGTATGTACACATATATCATCAAACACATAGATGCTTCCGATGGTGATCAGCGTGTCTGCTCCTTTAGAGAGGGCGTCCGCTAGTAGGAACTCCAGCTTGCGCACCTGATGGTGGAAAAAGTAACACACATATACATTATAGGTGCATGTATATATATATAAATATATATATATGTGCATAAGTAAATATGTGTGTGTGTATATGCGTGTCTGCTCCCTTGGAAAGGGCGTCTGCAAGCAGGAACCCCAGCTTGCGCACCTGTTGGAAGTACATGCATAAATATTAACATATGATATATACATTCATTTACACGAAACTACTATAAAAGGTGCCTCCAGTGAAAACTCTGGATGCCGTCTGCAAGAAAGAATGCCAACTTGCGCACCTTTCGATTTTGGTGGGATTCATACATAATTATAAACCTAAACAAAATATATTCAAACACATAAACAAGAGAGAATGTAAGATGACCACCCACTTCCGCAACCCTCTCCCTTCCCATCCCCTCCTCTCACCTTGTTACCGCTGAGCTCCATTCCCGAGAGATCATCCTCATCCCTCTGTTCAAGGAGAGAGGGCAGCAGGAGAACAAAGCACAGGCCAGGCCAGGCCATCCACATACACCCAGACCCTCTCCCTCCCCATCCCCCTCCCTCACCTTGTTACTGCTCAGCTCAATTCCCGAGAGGTCGTCCCACTGCTCAGGGAGAGGGCAGCAGGAGAACCAGGAGAACAAAGCAAAGGCCACCCACCTACTCCCTTGAAATCTCTCCCCCCATCCCCCTCCCTCACCTTGTTGCCGCTGAGCTCCATTCCCGACAGGTCATCCCTGTGCTCAGAAAGAGGGCACCCCTCTGCTAATTCCCCAAACCTCTCTCTCGCCATCCCCTTTTCTCACCTTGTTGCCACTGAGCTCCATTCCTGAGAGGTCATCCCTCTGCTTAGGGAGAGAGGGCAGCAAAGGAAGAAAGGAATTACTATATTCTTCAGTGTCATAGATGTATATATATATAGATATATATATACATATATGTTACACACACACGCACGCACACACACACACACACGCACGCACGCACACACACACACACACACACGCACACGCACACGCACACGCACACCCACACACACACCCACACCCACACATCCCCTCCCCCCCCCCACACACATGCGCGTGCGCGCGCACCCGCACACACACACACACACACACACACACACACACACAAAAGGAGTTTCTCAAGGAGCTACGTGACTATGCCATCTTTGTACAGGGGGGTGCGCCAGGAAGCTGGGAACTGAGGAGTAGAAACCAACACTGCTACTTATAGTCTGCTGACCTTTATGTAGAGCTCCGTGCCGGGTGGGTGGGAGATCTGGAATGTTCCACCGATGACTCGGCGTGGGTTCAACTTTCGAGGCGCCTCAAAAGAACCGACACTGTGAGCATCAGCTTGCTCACCTTAATGTAGAGCTCCGTGCCGGGTGGCAGATTTGGAATGTCTTTTGAGACGTCTTAAAAGTCGACAGTGACACTTACCTTTATGTAGAGCAGTGCCGGGTGGGAGATATGCAATGTTCCACCGATGAATCGGTGTGAGTACAACCTTTTGAGGCGCCTCAAAAGAACCAACAATGTGACTAAGATTGATAATATGCTGACCTTTATATAGAGCTCTGTGCCGGGTGGGAGGTCTGGAATGTTCCACCGATGAATCGGCGTGGGGCGCTGGAATAGAGAGAGAGAAATATGAGAATTGGGGGATTTGGACGGTCGTAGGCGGGGAGAGGGAGGTATTAATAGGCGTGTTTATTTAGAGGCAAGACTTCATGCCCTGTGGGAGATCTGGAATGTTCCACCGATGAATAGGCGTGGGGCACTGGATGCAACAGAGAGAATTGGGCGGGTTGATACAGTGAGGAGAGAGGGAAGTATGGATGAGTGTGCTAAGTCGGGTGTGTAACGCTCCAAGCCGGGCGGGAAATACGGAATGTTCCACCGATTAATGGGTGTGCCGTGCTGGAACACAGAGCATGAGGATTGTAGGGGGGGAGGGGGGGGGGGGGGGTTGGAAGGCCGTAGGCCGGGGAGAGAGGGAGACATGATAAGTGTGCTGATGTATGGCGCCTCACAAGACATTCTGCCTCATTTCTCTTTATCTTCCGCATCCTTGTCCCAGCAGCCCCCACACCCATACATGAGTGGAACATTTTAGATCTACCACATGGAACGGAGCCTTATTATCACATTTCAAGTCACTCACATGTGCGAGAGTGACCAATGGATCCTCCTACGTGGGGATCCATTGGTCTACCACATGGAACGGAGCCTTATTATCACATTTCAAGTCACTCACATGTGCGAGAGTGACCAATGGATCCTCCTACGTGGGGATCCATTGGTCTACCACATGGAACGGAGCCTTATTATCACATTTCAAGTCACTCACATGTGCGAGAGTGAGGAACCGGCTGGGCAGGGGGTTCAAATGAGAGGCCCATTCCGGGGGGTTATATGGCTGCAGCGACAGGTAACCCGATTCTGGAAACTTCCTGCTCCTGCTCCCATCCTCGTTAGAGACGGCAGCGTTAGCAGCAATAGACTCCGTGGTGTGTGAATCCATGTTCGATGCCATTGTTCGCGGAATCCGGCTTCTAGAAGACGCTGGAGAGAAGCTTCTAGAAGCTGCTAGCGGAATTCCCGTGAGAAACGCACTGCTAGCGCTGAATGCATGTCCAGGAAAACTTGCGCTGTCAGAGCTGGTTGTCTGTGCGACGGAATGTCGACAACTCGTGGAGGGTGTTCCTGAAAGGGCTCGCTCAGGAGCTATGGTGGGTCGATTCAGACGGACGTGCGACGGGAGTAAGAATGAAACGCATACTGCGGTGCGCATTGGACCAGACTAAGGAAGCTTGACGAACAGGAGCGTCGTACACAAGGCACGATGCAAACGGGTTGATTGTGCACGATACTCCTGTTTACTACTGTCAAGTCTCAAAATTGGGTAGTCATGGCTTGTGGCTGTGGCAGAAGGCACTGAAATTCCGTAGAATTCCCAAGCCCCGGCCTGGTGCAGTGAATCTGTCACAGAATGCACATCGTTCCTTGATATTAGCAGGTTCCCCGTTTCCATATTGAGCATAAAGGCAATAAGGTGGTTGGGCAAAATTGTCTGGCAGCCAAATATTATGACTTTCGTTAGGGTGAAACTGGCTTTCGTTTACAGTCACAAAATCCACAAATTGTTCAATTTGTAGGCAATGTTCAGTGACATCCTCAGCGAAACCCAAACACAATCTTGAAAGTCGTTACAGTGCGCCACGTGCCAACCCGCTCATTGCGTCAACCACTCAAATTACGACACGCCGGACACGGAGTCAACATTTTCGCTGACACAATCCAAAAAGTTCCCAGCAAGCGATCATTCACAGCTGGTTACCAATCTTTCCCGCTTTCTCAGGAGCGCTTGCAGAGAGGATGCTTCTGCTCGAGTCTCCCTCCCTGATGGTCCTCCATAAAAGAGAGCTCTCATTGTTGAAAGAGTTTTGCTGCTAGTCCACTTACATATCAGATAGCACTGCGGGACAGTGCGAAATTGAGGGAATTTTAGGTATCTCCCTCCATTTCCGTCTGTTCGACATTTCCTGGTCCAATCATGGCCGCCATTTCCGCGTCCAAAGCAGCTGTCTCTAGCGCAGCTGCCTTCAAGCAGTGTGGATTCTCCTCTGGAGAAAGCTTCGGAGAGCAGTCTCTGGCGCTTAAGAACACTGTCCACCTCAAGAGCAAGAACCAAGCCGCTCTGTCATGCCGAGCTAGCGTCGCTTCAGGTTGATTACACGTGACCATCCCTAAGTCATCACTTTTTTTCAGCCAAAGAGCTCTTCATCGCAAAATTCCCCTCACATACACTCCTTACAAATATCGCGTTCATATTCATCATTCCGCATCTCTCATCTGTGAATTCATGCTATTACAGAGACCGTGAGCTCTTCCGCCCCTGCTTCGACAGAGGATCCCTTGCTGCTGAGGGCCGTCAGGGGTGACAAGGTGGAGAGGCCTCCAGTCTGGCTCATGAGGCAGGCTGGCCGGTACATGAAGGTAAAATACTTCTGCAATTAACCGTACGAGTGATAATAACCAAGTAAGTAGTTTCCTTCCATTTCTGGACCATTGCTGATAGCTCCGACGTTTGTTTCCACGTTCAGGTGTATCAAGACCTGTGCAAGAAGCACAAAACTTTCAGGGAACGCTCTGAGAATGTCGACCTCTCGGTCGAGATCTCTCTCCAGCCGTGGAGGGCCTTCAAGCCAGACGGAGTAAGGACAGAGAATTCAGTATTTTTAATTATTCCTTTCGAATGGTCGTTCGTCTACAGCTTTTCCTGTTGGTGGATTCTCAGGATAGTTTTCTTTGTGTTGTAAAACTTCTCATGGATGCAGATCATCCTGTTCTCTGACATTTTGACGCCGCTGACCGGAATGAACATTCCGTTCGACATCGTTCCCACCAAGGGCCCGATTATCCATGACCCTATTAGGACTGCCGCGGATGTCGCCAAGGTGCAGCCTCTGGACCCGGACACGGCGTTGCACTACGTCGGCGAGACCCTCCAGATTCTCCGGAAGGAGGTGAGAATCACATGCTCGATTGAATGTAAAAATATAGCAGCCGCGTGTTCCATCTCCTTCCATAATCTATTTACATCCCGATTCCCTCGCACATTAATAAGACGTTGAGCAAGGCATACATTTGGAACCATATGCCTCTTTACCGTCTCCGTGGGTTTATCCCTGGTATACTCCGTGGTGGTAGCAACCAAGAGCGAAATTATATTTATGGCCCATGAAACCCAATAGTGAAAAAAATATTAGACTGACGTCGCATCTGCTCAATTCAACGAATTAGCAACAGCATTCTTACGGACGCGACATTGCTGGCTCTCCATTTTCACTCTGAATTCCGTCTCTCCCTCTCATCCACGTTCCATTTGCAACACCGTCTCTGACTTGCTCGACCCTCGTTACCCTAAATGAATCGTTGTACACCGTGCTTTCCTCTGCAGGCTGCAAACCAGTCAACTGTCCTCGGTTTCGTGGGTGCTCCCTTCACAATGGCGTCGTACATTGTCGAGGGTGGCTCGTCCAAGAACTTTTCCATCATCAAGAAGATGGCGTTCTCAACCCCAGAGGTGCGGTTAGCATTTGACTGGTTTAACGTTACATGGACGACTTGGTTCAGCCAGCGCACTTGAAAACCCTTCCCATGGCTTCTCAACCAAGTTAATTCATGCAAAGTTTCCACCTGTATATTCTATTTGACCTAACCCTCTCTGTGTTGGTGTTGTTTTATCATCATCCCTGCAGATTCTGCATGCGCTGCTTGCCAAGCTGGCGGAGTCCACTGTGCGCTACATGCGCTACCAGGCAGACAATGGTGCTCAGGCAATTCAGATCTTCGACTCTTGGGCCACCAGCCTTTCTCCTTGCGGTACGCCCTTGTGTTTCCCCAAAACGGCTTCTTACAGTTCTTTAGTTAGTCAACAGCAGCGTCCCAGTTTGTATTCGTCATATTCTGTGTGTCACAGGTGTTGTGCTGTTTTTTTTATCCTGGCTCATTGGCCGACTGACATGTTACTGTGTGATTTGGTTGACAGACTTCGAAGTCTTCAGTCTGCCATACATCAAGCAGATTGTGGCTGAGGTGAAGTCCACCCACCCCGACCTGCCCATCATCCTCTACGCCAGTGGCAGTGGTGGCCTGCTTGAGCGCATGTCTAAGACTGGAGTAGATGTTGTCAGTGTTGATTGGACCGTTGACATGGCTGAGGCTCGGGAGAGGATCGGCAAGGATATCGCTGTGCAGGGCAATGTGGACCCGGCGATTCTGTTTGGTTCCAAGGAGACGATTACAGCGAGGATCCACGACACGGTGGCCAAGGCAGGGCCACACAAGCACATTCTCAACCTTGGTCATGGTGTCTTGATAGGCACCCCAGAGGAGAATGTGGAGCATTTCTTCTCTGAGGCACTCAAGCTTAGGTATTAGTGCAGCTGGATAAAGATCCAGTCCAGCTGATTTTGGTTTATACTGCAATTATCTTTGTACCATGAAAGTGTCCGCTCTGTCACGTTATTGAAATGTTTTGACATAGTGCCAGGAAGCTGATAAACAAGGACGTTATAGCGAAAACTGCCAGCCTGAGTTTTGCTCCACTGACTTCAATCAAGTTTCCGACAGAACGTCGTGGAGAGCATTTCCGTGTTTAGTTCGGTGAAGCACGTTTGATCACAGCCTGTTACAGCGCGGTTCTCTGCGTTGACAATCCACTTGTCGGTAACACGTCACGTTCATTTAGTCACATATCAGTGATGACCCCCAGCCAATCAAGTTCAAGCGGAAGGAGTCATGTTTTTCGGATCGGGTACAAATCCACCGCCAAGGTTTCAAAACTCGAAAATCAAATCCACCACCCATCATTATTTATTCGGCTACGTGTAATAGTTTTCTGCCATCATCCAGGTCAGGTGTCAGCCATTGCAGCCATTATCTAGCTCAGGCTCTCCTGATACAATCAGAGCCCAGCTTCCGCATTCTACGCTTTCCTGTACCTCTCGGTAGACTAGAACGGAGTAGAGAGGATGGTATGTTGACTTACTGGTGGGAACAGCCAGGCCTGCTGCGATCGCGTTTCGGATTTTTAGTTACCTCCGTGTCAACTAGTACCTCCTTTTCAAATTAGTCACATTCGGGAAAAAAAATACCTCTTTCGTGCACTCGGCAGGCCGGATCGTCGTTGCACTCTTCGGTTTTACTAATCCCCGCGAATTATCTAACGATCAGGTATGGTGAGACACCGTCGGCTCACACAGCCGCCTCGTGTACAGTCGAAACGCCGTTTGTAGGAAGCGAATTCGTCGGGATTAGACCAACGCGCGGCCCGTCAGTGCACAGTACCTAGGGTTCGACCTCGCCTTTCCAAGCTTGAAGTAGATACCCTTAAAAATCCCTCCGCGCCGCTCTTTTCAAGTCTCCAGAATGTTTATTAGATCGATTCGCTGTACCAGGACCAGGAGAATCCCGATGCAAGCCGTCAGTGGTTGAATTTCTTCGTCTTGGGATTACACGCCACCCAGACTCGTCTCACTGCTCCGCATCGCTCCCCACCGCCCCCAACTGCATCAACCGGACGAACCGCACCCATCATGGGAGCCGTACCCCCCGGTCTCGCCCTGATTCAGTACCTGCACCGACGACGAAGCTCCCGCCATTACACCACCGCCACATTCACATCCGCTCCTTTCACCTTTTACGGCCAGCAGACATCCGTCCTCGTTATAACCTTCCTCGCTTACGCTCTCTTCCACGCCACCCGAAAACCCCCCAGTATCGTTAAAGCGGTCCTGAACCCGCTCCCCGCGACTCCCCTCGCATCCCCCGCTTTTCCCGCCGAGATTCCCGGCGCGAATCCCGCGCCTTCATCCACGCAAGGGTTCCCGAGATTTCCGCCACCGCCTCCCGCGCCGCCTGGGAGGAAGACCATAGAGGTTGGCGGTAATTCAAGGACTATTGGAGTTAATAGGGGCTATGGGGCATATGGACAGGAGACGACGGAAGCAGGGTTTCGCAGCAGCACTGCTGAAAGTAGTGCTTCAAAGGGATCTGCTGATTGGGAGAGACGGCAGCAGGCCTATAACGAGGATGGAGTGCAGAGGGGCGGTGATGAAGGGGTGGAGGGTGGGAGGCGATTGGAGGATGTGAGGGATGACAGGAGGGGAGCGGAAAGGCAGAGAGGAGCGGAAAGGCGGAAATTGATGCGGTTTGTAGGTTTATGGCGAAGGGAGTTACCTGGTGGCGATTGGCAATGGGATGGTGGCGATGGGCGAAGAGAGTTACCCGTTGGCGATGGGCGAAGGGAATTAGCTGTTCAGGCTGTGATGAAGAGACAAGAAGCAACGAAAAGCGCTAGCACATTGGGACCTGTGCAGGCCTTTGGAAACAACAGCTCTGGATCAGCAGCAGGAGGAGCAGCAGGAGCAGCAGCAGGAGCAGGAGCAAACAACAGTTTATCCGTACAAGTTGGGAAAGTGGCAGAAGCAGCTAAGGCAGCAGCGGGGGCAGCGGGAGCAGCAGTAACAGCAGCAGAAGCAGCAGCAGGAGCAGCAGCAGGGGCAGCAGTCGACGCAGCAGGAGCGGCAGGGGTAGCAGCAGCAAGAGCGTCAGCCGCAGCAGCTGGAATAGACTCGTCTAAAGGCCACCATTCTGGTCTAAACACGTATGGATGGGCCCCCTTTAACGGGACTAACGGCCAGGCGCTTCTAGGGGAACTTGATGTGGCATTTTTGGCTTCATATGCTGCAGGCATGTATGTCGCAGGGTCTTGTGGGGATAGAATGGACCTCAGGGTGTTTCTTTTTGTCGGAATGCTCGGTTCGGGCATCTTCACGTGCCTCTTTGGAGTGGGGTATTTCCGGGATATACACTCTCTGGGGTATTACCTCGTCGTTTCGGTGTTTGCGGGGGCGTTTCAGTCGATCGGGTGGCCCTGTGTGGTTGCAATCATGGCACGGTGGCATGGGAAAAAGGGCCGGGGATTGGTCTTAGGCATGTGGAATGCTCACACTTCCTTTGGGAACATTTTAGGTTCGTTATTAGCTGCTGCGTCTCTCGCGTCTGGCTGGGGTTGGGCTTTTCTTGTCCCCGGAACTGCGATAATCGTAGTGGGATTTGTTGTGCTACTGTTCTTGCCGCCCGGGCCAGAGGAACTGGCGTTTGAGTCGCCAGAGGAGGAGGAGGAGAAGGAGAAGGTGGTAGAGATGGCGATGGTGAGTGGAGGGGTGGTGGGGATTGGAGGGGAGAGAGTGAGTGTGGGGCCTGGTGGGGTTATGTATAGCCCTGTGAGTACGAAGGATGTTGGAGGAGTGGGGAGCGGTGCAAATGATGTTGGTAACGGTGCTGCTGGTGCTGCTGGTGGTGCTGGTGCTGCCGGTGGTGCTGGTAAATCATTGGCAGGAGAAGCATATGTAGGTGAAAGAACAGCGGGAGGAGACGAAGAGAGGAAAAGAAGCCAGTTAGGGGAAAAGAGAGACTCAGGAGGAGGAGCTAGAGAAGGGACCGCAGCAGCAGTAACCAGGTTACCACGTGACAGTGGTAGCTCAGCAACAGCCGCTTTATCCAACCATGTGATTACTCCACAAAACGGGACCTACAATAACGAGGATGGAGCCAGATCCCCGCCTCCCAAGCTACGCCCTCCCCCAACCCAGCGCCAGCAGCAGCAGCAGCAGCAGCAGCAGCAGAAAGACGTGTCAACTTACGACGACGACAGTGCTGGCCTGTTAGAAGAACTCGAGACAGCAGCCGGATCAATCGCCCACATGCGTTCAAGAGCCAGGGGGGGCAGCGCGGGCGAAGGGGGAGATCGCGCAGTGGGGTTTCTGGAGGCGTGGAGGATTCCTGGCGTGGCGGCGTTTGCTCTCTGCTTGTTCTTCGCCAAACTGGTGGCATACACGTTCCTCTACTGGCTCCCATTCTTCATCAGCCGAACTGGTGAGCATCTGCCTCACAAGAGGGTGTCAGGCACGCACCATGCAGGGTGAGGGAGAGGGAAGGGCACTTTGGAGGATTCCTGGCGTGGCGGCGTTTGCTCTCTGCCTGTTCTTCGCCAAGCTAGTTGCCTACACGTTCCTCTACTGGCTGCCTTTCTTCATCAGCCGAACGGGTGAGTAACAGATACACCTATAGAGTGATTCTGCTGCCTGTCTACATGTGTGGACACGCCAAGCTGGTCGCCTACACGTTCCTCTACTGGCTCCCATTCTTCATCAGCCGAACAGATGATTGTCAGACTATGCAGGGAGGGTGATTGGGCCGATCCCCGTTCTGCCTTTACCTCGTGAGCCTTCCCACTAGGCGGTGGGGTTTCTGGAGGCGTGGAGGATTCCTGGCGTGGCGGCGTTTTCTCTCTGCTTGTTCTTCGCCAAGCTAGTGGCCTACACGTTCCTGTATTGGCTCCCATTCTTCATCAGCCGAACTGGTAAGGGTGAATCTGCTGTCTACACGAGTCTGAGTCACGGAGGTGTTCGTTTGCTCTCTGCCTCTTCTTCGCCAAGCTGGTCGCCTACACGTTCCTCTACTGGCTCCCATTCTTCATCAGCTGCACAGGTGGGTGGTGAGTGTCAGGCACGCCAGGTGGGTGGGTGCTTCATGTGTGGACACTCCAAGCTGGTGGCCTACACGTTCCTCTACTGGCTGCCCTTCTTCATCAGCCGCACGGGTGAGTGTCAGACCATGGAGGGAGAGGGAGGGGGAAGGGGGGAACAAGGAGGGGGGTGGGTAGGGGGGAGGCGGGAAAATAGGGGGGGTATCGGCCGGTGGGGTTTCTGGAAGCCTGGAGAATTCCTGGTGTGGCAAGAAAGAAGCCAGACACCCACCATGCAGGGAGAGGGAGGGGGAAGGAGAGGCGTGGAGAATCCCTGGCGTGGCGGCGTTTGCCCTGTGCTTGTTCTTTGCCAAGCTGGTCACGTTCCTCTACTAGCTCCCTTTCTCCATCAGCCCAGCAGGTGAGCTCAAATCACTTGGCGAATAAAAGTGATTCTGCATATCCTGAACTCTATACATTTCAAGCTGGTGGCGCACATGTTCACCTACTGACTCATATTCGTCATCAGTGGAATGGATGATGGTCAGTCAGACAGTACAAAAAGCGCAAGGTGGGTATTGTTGTCAGACACATTCCGTCGTCCTGACGAGTTGACGTATGGGTCCACTCGATCCTACTTGGAGGTCAAAATCTTCTCGTGTGATGAGAAGACGATTTTTTAGTGGGCTCAAAAATAGGTCCATAGCTACCACTCAAAGCTTCTCTGACACGCACGCCATCCAGCATTTCTGCCCTGCTGTGAACTGCCCTCCCACCAGAAATCGAGTGCCGCTACCTCTCTGACATGCAATCCGGCATGCTTGATTCTCAGAGGAGAGAATTGAGGAGAGAATTAGTCCTTTCAAAACGTGCCCTTTTGTTCTGCACTGCCCACCCCACCAGAAATTGAGGGTCGATACCTCTCTGACGCACAATCCGGCATCATGTCTACAGTGTTCGACGTGGGCGGCGTGGTGGGCGGCATTCTCGCAGGCCATCTCGCCGACCAAACCGCCGCCCGCGCCACCGTTTCGGCCTCTTTCCTCCTCCTTGCCGCCCCGGTTCTAGCCGCCTATTTCTTCCTAGGAGGCCTTTCTCTGTGGGTGAATATCCTCCTTTTAAGCCTCTCCGGTGTGCTGGTTAACGGCCCGTACGCGCTTATCACTTGTGCTGTCTCTGCTGATCTCGGGCAGCATAAAAGTTTGCAAGGGAACGCCCGAGCGCTGGCTACAGTAACTGCGATAATTGATGGGACGGGGTCGGTTGGAGCAGCATTGGGGCCGTTTATAACGGGTTTTATATCACAACTAGGAGGAGGAGGAGGAGGAGGGGGGTTGAGTGGATGGGGTGCTGTTTTTGTGATGCTTGGAGTGTCTCTAGTAGCGGCTGTGTTGTGTATTGGAGGTTTGGTTGTGGAGGAGGTTAGGGGGATGGTGGAGGGGAGACGAGGGTCGGCGGTGGGGCGGCAAAATTTGGAGCAAGCAGCTTTGGAAAGAAGACCTCTGCGATTAGAAGAAGGTACAAAACACCTGTGCAGGTAAGAACCTTGGTGGGCTAAATAAGTTACCGGTAAGATATTACCTGTTTATTACCCGTTAAGAAACTTAGATTGTTTGTATGTATGTATGTTTGTTTGTGTATCCATGTGTGGGAGTCATAATATATGTGGGAACCATGCCGTATTTGGGAACCATACTATATTGGGAAAACTTACCAAGTGCACGAGCCCTACCATATGTGGGAGCCATACCATATGTGGGATCCATACGATATGTGTAAAACCTTACCGTATGTGGGAACCATACTGTATGTAGGAGCCATACCATATGTGGGAACCATACCATATGTGGGAACCATTCCATATGTGTAAAACCTTACCATATGTGGGAACCATACCATGTGTGGGAGCTGTAACATATGTGGGAATCATACCTCATGTGGGAGCCACACCATGTCTGGGAACCATACCATATCTGGGAACCATACCATATGTGGAAACCATACCATATGTGGGAACCATACCATATGTGGGAGCTGTACCATATGTCAGAATCATGCCATATGTGCAAATCATACCATATGTGGGAGCCATACCATATGTGGGAGGAGCCATACCATATGTGGGAACCATACCATATGTGGGAGCCATACCATATGTGGGAGTCATACCATATGTGGGAACCATACCATATTGGGGAACCTTACCATGTGGGTGGGAATCTCGTATCATATGTGGGTGGGGAGGGGATCATACCATATGGAACTACGGTATATGGAATTTGCTGCTCTTAGACCATTTCAACTTGTGTACCCTGCCCTGTGTGTCTTCAGTTTCGATCTTACCCTCATTTCCTGGTGTATTGGTGTGCTTCTTGTATGTCTGTGTAGGAGGTTGAGCCGGAACGGCGCTGTTGGTATCGGAGATCTAAAGCGTAACATTTTTGCACCGTGGACAGCATGCACACGGAATTTATTCTGCCCTCCAAATAGCAAAAGAAGTTATAATATCTTGTTTCTAATGCAAAACACAGCAGCTATTCGAAACGTACTCACGCACTCGTGGTGATGCAAATGTTGCTTCCATTTTTGTCAATGCAGTCTTGGTACAGTAATTCTTCCATTCAAGGACGGAATGTTGAATGTTGTGCGGTCTGACCTCCCACCACATTAAAATACAACTTTCTAGCTAATTCCATTGCTTGAGGGGATAGAAAATGGGGGATCGTCCTTGGTAAAGGACATGACAGCCAATTGCGAGTGTCTTATCATTCAAACTTTTGTTTGATGTTGTATCATTAATTAAATATCGGGTAGGCAGCTAATCGAAGGCAGCTAGCAGCGGGTTACGGACGGACGAGATGTTGCGGATGGATAACGACGGAGTAACCGCCATTCGACATTTTTCACTGTTGCGCCGCGCGCACCATGCATTCCTTCCGCGACGTTACCTTCCTAGTTTCGTCACTCCAGTTGCGAACTTGAGGGACGGGTAATCGTTCGCGAGTGCCCCAGTTGAATGAAACCGCAGCTGGGATGGGTGTCCCTGTTGCGGCACGGTGAATCGAAACTGGCATGCTTGTTTTATCGCAACTCGCCTTGTTGAGAAAGTGTCGGCGCTCGCGAAATGAGTAACGAACAAAACAGCAGTTCGTACCGAATCCGATACAACTTTATCATTCAAGCGAAACTCTGAAACTGACACTGTCGTGCAGGTACTCGGGCCGCCACATGCATACGTAAGCAGGACACGGGCTGGGGATTGGCTGTGGATGGCGCAAGAGGGGCTGGTGGTGGGGTGGGTGCTGGCTGCCTGGCAAGGTTCCAATTGGCGGATGGCGTTGCATTGCAGTGGAGCGTGCGACGCGAGCCACGCCAGCGAAACTTCCACATTTTGGTTGGCGCAACAAAACAGGCGCAAAGAGAGTTTGAGGGGGGAAGGGGGGAAGAGAGGCGGGAAGGGGGGAAGAGAGCATGCTGGCGGGCGCAAGTGGTCTGCGCGCAGTACACGACGACGGGCTCATTTGGGCCGGCTGGCTGGCATTTCCTGTGAAGGCTGACAGCCACACTGCCGCTGCAATACTTTCCTTGGCACGCGCACGCGCTGCATTCAGCTGGCCCCATCCCAAAACCGCGCCTTTCCTTCCCCCATTTTATCCCCAGACTCCACAGTCTCCTATCCCCAACTCCCCCCCGAACCCCCATTTTCCGCAATCCCCCATCTGCCGTGTACCTCACTCCCCACCCCAATTCCTTCGTTCCCCGCATTTCCCCGTTGACGTTTCCCAAATTGCGCCGGATCGCGATTTCCAAAGCAGTCAACCCAGCTAGGGACTGGTTGGGGGGCTAGAGACTTCACCTGAGGACGCCCCTCAATTGCACGGACGGTCTAATCAAAAAAATCAGGCGATTGTCGCATGGTCGGCCATTGCTGACAACTGCAGCTGAACACCAGCAATTGGTAACGACAAGGCCAGCTGAAAGCAAGTTGAACGGAGAACAAGCGGAGCGGAGCCCGATGTGAGGTTAGAAGGGACTCTGGAGGAGGGCCAGAGAGACTCCAGTAGGACACAGTTACTACAGTACAAAATGAGATCATACTAATTGCTTGACCTTGAGCAGTGGTTCTTATCCATGGTGACCGTGTTCTGTTCTATCTCGATTGCACTTATAATTTTACACGCGGATACTTCAAGCTAAGGTCTTCGCACATTAGTCCCAGCTCCTCGCACAGAATGCGGGAAGGGCAACAGAGGACCAAGCCACTTACTCGCGAAGCGCACGCGAACAGCGAAAACTTCTAGAAGCCGTCGCAGCCTATCTCTGAGGAACAAACAGGAGGAAATATCGACGTCCGACAACGCGCTAATATTCCCCAAGCACTATCCCTTCACTCAAATCGCCCACACGCCGCGCCATGGGCTGCTACTCGCCTTCTCAAACCATTCCTAGATATCTCGAGCCAAACACAGTCCAGCCAATCGCAGTCAAGCCCATGACCGCGGAGCCAATCACAGTGGACGTTTTTCCCGCGGTGTTTCTCGAGCGCGATTACGAGTTCATGGGGGAGATCGGCAGCGGGCAGTACGGCAAGGTCTGGAAGTGCCGCTCGCGCCTCACTGGCCGGCAGTTCGCCTGCAAACAGGTCAAGAAGCGGCCGGCGCGGCCGGCACGGTCGGGACGGGGACAGCAAGGGCGGAAAAACTTTGCGCAGCGGAAAACGCGGGAGGGAAACGGCGGGATATCCGGCGCGGACGGCGGGCCGGGTTCAGGAGATGACGTGGACCCGATTGAGCGGGAAATCGCGGCGCTGACTCATTTGGAGGGTTGCGAAGGCGTCACGTCGCTACACGGCGTGTTCGAGGACGCCACGTCGGTTTTCCTCGTTATGGACTTGTGCGATAGTGGCGACCTGTTCTCGCTTATCGCGGACACGGACGGAGTTCCCGAGGACGAATCGCGGCAGCTGTTTGCTGACGTGGCACGCGCGGTGAAAGCGTGCCATGACAGGGGCGTGTTGCATCGAGACATAAAACCTGACAACGTACTCCTTTCTTTACGCGGCACAACTGCTACAACTAATATGGGTAGCAGTTCGAGTAACCCTCAGATTGCGGGGTTGGACTACAACTACCCCTCGCCTACGAGTAACACTTCCTGGACCTCCGCTGCCCCCTTATTTAACGGTTTCCGCGCCACGACGGCGCACGAGCCGTCGGCGAGTCGCCGGCGGTACGACGTGAAGCTTGCGGATTTCGGCCTGTCAGTGATTCTAACGGGGGGCGGGTGCGTGCGCGGATACGCGGGGAGCTTTCCGTACGAAGCACCGGAGGTGGTTGGGTTGAGAGAGTACAGTTTCGCAGCGGATATTTGGAGCATGGGCGTGCTTTTGTACGCGCTATTGTCTGCGAACTGGCCCGAGTTCAAGAACAGGCAGGCGCTTAACGAGGAGACGGACTGGACTGGCGCGTCGTGGGATCAAGTGTCGGAGGACGCAAAGGATCTTATCCGTCGGTTGCTGACGGTGGATCAAGATCGACGGCCCACGATCGATGAGGTGCTGAGGCACCCGTGGCTCGCGCCGGCGACCCGTGTTGACCGCGCCGAAAGCGTTGACTCCGTTGACTGTGTTGACCGTGAGAAGGGGACAAAATCGAAACAAAATCCGTCACTTCTGCCGCCGCTCCTCATCCCCTCGCAATCTCTCGATTCTCGCGAATCGACCTCCCTCGAGTCGGCTTCGTCGATTCCGTCGGAAGCTTCATTCCTCTCCGCGCTCGCCGCCACGCCTGCTTCTCTCCCCACGCCAACGGCTACTTTTACTGCCAGCAGCACGACGTATCATGCGGCAAGTGAAAGGAGCAACGCGATCGGCGCGGTATCGGGGGGGATCCGCAGTAACTGCGCCAGCCGCGGGAGCAGTAGCGCTTCGGAGACCCTCCCTGTCAGTGACAATAGCGGGGTGTGGGATGGGCCTGAGGCGCCGTGTGACTGTATGGAGGGTTGCGGACGCGGACTGAAAGGGCGAAACCCTAAATGTAACCCAAAGAGGTCGCATCAACGGCTGAGACAACGAGGATCCGAGGGTAACGCAGGCGACGGCGACGAGACGCGTGGACCAAACGCGACTGAGGAGGAACGGAGGTGCATGTCTGAGCCAAGTGGCGGAAATCACGGAAGAACAGAGGAGACACGCGAACGCGGCGAAAGCGCAAGCAGCGGAAGCGCAAACGGCGGAAGCGCAAACGGCGAAAGCGCAAGTGAACCACGGAGCAAGGACAACAACTTAAGGGCAGGTTCTCCCTTAGCGCGACGCGGGTCGATCAAAGAGTACGCAGCGCAGGTGGTGTCTAGCCTAAGATGGCAGCCTGGCTGCTTCTATTCGACCGCTGAAGCCGTGGCCCCCGAAGCGGCCTGCGACGACACGACCGCTTCTTCCGCCGCAGTTTCCGCCGTCACTTCCGCCGCAGTGCCTTCTGCTACCGATATCGGAACACCTAAAAGTGGAACCGCGGAAATCCAAACCCAATCTCTGAAGGGTAAAGAGTCTGCGGATATGGATATTCTACGAGCAATGGAAATCCATCTATCCGCGTTTTTTATGACGAAGCAGACTAAGAAGTGTGCTTGAAATGATGTAAATAGTACGAGCTCTACAATTTTGTTACTTAGTCCAGTTTGAAGCTTGACCCTTGCAAAGCAATGTGCCCCACCATTACAATTGTGAAACAACGCCTTCAAAGCCAATACTAATAGAAATATTAGTAAAGCGAGCCAAACACTGATCGCTGAACATTAGCACAGTAAACGCACTTTGGTAGCCAAGACACATCTCATTGCTGAAACCTCTCTCGAAGTCAGACTCGTCCAAACGCGTGTAGTGTAGTTACAGAGCAGTATGACAGTGTATAACACGACACAAGCACCGTCTGTCTGTCACTCGTCATCGTCGTCTGAAGACGCATCACTGAAATCGCTTTCAAAGTCAGACTCGTCCAAATCAAACTGTTGAGGGGGCAATGGGGGTCGGGGTGTGGGGGAGAAGGGGGGATGATACATTTTTTTATTAAACTCAAAATTCGGCTTCAAATGTCAAACTCGTCCAAATCAAGCTGTACAGGGGGGGGTGGGGGTGGGGCGTAGGTTTGGAGGGGGGAGGTGTTGGGGGGGGGGGGGGGATGAACCACTTTAAATGTTAGGCTCGTTCAAATCAAGCTGTTGTGGGGGCAATGGGGGGCGGAAGTGGGGGCGGAAGTGGGGGTGTGGGTGGGAAGGTAGGGTTCGCTTCGCTTTCAATGTTAGGCTCGTTCAAATCAAGCTGTTGGGGGGTGATGGGGGCGTAGGTGTGGGGTGGGGGAGCGGAAGGAGTGGATCGCTCTTAAAGTCAGACTCGTCCGAATCAAGCTGTTGGGGGGAGGTGGGGGAGGGATGGGGGGCAATGGGGGGAAGTGGGGAAGAAATGAAAGGGATCAATCGCTCTCAAAGTCAGACTCGTCCAAATCAAGCTGTTGGGGGGAGGTGGGGGAGGGATGGGGGGCAATGGGGGGAAGTGGGGAAGAAATGAAAGGGATCAATCACTCTCAAAGTCAGACTCGTCCGAATCAAGCTGTTGGGGGAAGGTGGGGGAGGGATGGGATGGGGGGCAATGGGGGGAAGTGGGGAAGAAATGAAAGGGATCAATCGCTCTCAAAGTCAGACTCGTCCGAATCAAGCTGTACGGGGAGGCGATGGGGAGGGCGAGGAGGGGGGGGGTGTTGGGGGGAAGGAGAGAATCGCTTTCAAAAGCGGTTGTCCAAATGAGGCTATACAGGAGATCGAGGCTATCACAGACAGAAACCAACCAAGGCTGAATCCGACTGAAACACACTCGACTGACTCGTCCCATCCAACAGTTGTTCTTTGACTGTCTGTACGTAAATAGGAAAATGACTCGTACCTACATGCACGTGTGCCACTTGAAACGTCCCAGCTAACACTTGTTTTATTTGACATGCATACACAGAGGGAGAATCTGGCTCATGCCTTCACGTGTGCCACTTGAAATGTCCCAGGAGCAGCAGGAGCAGCATGGGGAAGAGGCAAAGCCACATCAGCACTGCACGGACATAGGACACTAACACAGAAGCACTAGCACAGAGGCCCCAACCCAAGGCTGAATCTGGCTCGTACCTGCACGTGTGCCACTTGCAACGTCCCCGGCGCAGCAGGAGACAAGGCCACAGCAGCAGCAATAGCTGCACTGCACATGCAAAAGAAACGAACACTTGCCTGCATGTAAATAGGACTCTGACTCATACCTGTACATGTGCCACTTGAAACGTCCCAGGCGCAGCCGGAGCAGCAGGAGCAGGGGGTAAGGCCACAGCAGCAGCACCACCATCACGCACACTAGCCCCTGCTGCTCTTTCCTTTCCTGCTGCCCCTTCTTTCCCTGCCCCTGCCACTGCTGTGGGCCGGATAACACCTTCCCCAGGTCCCACCACCATGCCAGCCACAGCAGCAGCAGCGGCAGCAGGTACACTCGGGGGAGGTACATCTGAGGAAGGTACACCTGCTGCCACGGGGAGGGGCACAGCAGGGGCGCCTGGTAAGGGGAGGGGTATGGGATCCCCCGGTTTCCACCCTGCAGGCATGGTGGGTACGGCAGGTAGGGGTACAGCTGTGGGTAAACCAGACGCCCCTGCCACTGCCCCTGCTGCTGCAGCACCTGGGGCAGTAGGAGCAGCAGCGGGGGCAGCAGAAGGAGTGGCAACAGCAGCGGTGGGGAGGGTTGGAAGGGGATCTCCAGGTTTCCATCCCGGAGGGGGGGGAGGGAGGGGAAGCGGGTCTCCTAGCTTCCACCCAGCAGGCATAGGTGGGGGTACCACTGCTGCTGCTTTTCCTGCTGCAGCGGCGGCGGCAGCAGCGGCAGCAGCAAGGCCTGAAAAGGAAGGGAGCGGGTCTCCAGGTTTCCACCCTGGAGGAGGGGGAGGTAAGCCCACTGGAACCCCTTTCCCTCCTCCTCCTGCTCCTGCTGCTGCTGCTGCCGCCGCCGCTGCTGCTGCTGCTGCAGCAAAATCAGCCTCCCTGCTCCCTACTCCCTTCCCAGCCGCAGCAGCAGCAGCAGTGGGAGTACGCCGGGGACTGATAGGCCCTGATTCCCCTCCTTCCACCCCACCAACCCCACTCTTCCTCCCCTTCCCAATCTCCTTCCCACTCTCCTTTCCCCTCTCTTTTTCCCTCTTCTTTTCCTTCCGGATAATCCCAAGGGCCTTCTCATCGGTACAGTGATAGAGGAGAGACATTCTCAGCTGTTCATCTTGCGGAGCAGGGGGGAGGGCGGCGAGGAGAGGTGCACCTAGGGCGTGTTCGGGCGGTGCGAAGGTTGTGTAGCTGATGCGATGCGCGAATGCGATGAGCTGGCGAACAGAGACAGGTGCGACTTCATCCCAGCCCAAAGGTTTGAATGATTCTTGGTGCTGCTGCTGTTTCTTTCGTCGCTGGAGAGAGGAAGAGCGCGATCGAGAGCAAGAACGAGAGCGAGAAGGAGAGCGAGAAGGAGAACGAGAACCAGACCCTTTTTGTTTCTTTTGTCGTTGGAGAGAAGGAGAGCGAGAGAGAGAACGAGAAGGAGAATGGGAACGAGAATGAGAAGGAGAACGGAGCCAGACCCTTTTTGTTTCTTTTTTTGCTGGAGAGAAGGAGAGCGAGAGCGCGAGAGAGGGCGAGAACGAGAACGGGAGCGTGAACGAGAGCGAGAAGGAGAACGAGAGCTAGACCCTAATAGCTTTTTTTGTCGCTGGAGAGGCGGAGAGCGAGAACGAGAACGCGAAGGGGAACGAGAAGGGGAACGAGAACTAGACCCTTTTTGTTTCATTCTCTTTTTCTTCTCCTTTGCTCCTTTTCCAGCCTTCTCTCCCAAACCCCCCTCCCCCTGCCTCCCCTTCCCCCTTACCCCGCTCCCCCCTGCCACCCCCCTCTCCTCCTCCCCGCCCTCCCTCAACCCCTCTTTCCCCTCACCAGCCCCCCCCTTCGTCCCTCCTCTGCCTCCCTCTCCTAGCAGCTTAAAGCCCTTGTGTTCATCTAGCACTGCCAGAAGCAGCTGCTCTGCCTCCCTCGCTCTGCGCCCAAACTCCCTTAAAGCCTCGTTCGTTCGCCCCAGCTCCTCTCTCATCTTCACTTGCTTCTCTTCCCCGGACTGGCTTTCATTCACCGCCCCGACCTTGTCCCTCATGCCTGCTTTGTGCTCTTCCATTCCCTGAAAAGCAATGGAAGGGCGGACGGGAAGGAGGAACGTCTGGTTGCTTGCTCTGCTCGGCTGTTCTCAGCTCTGCTTCCTTCCTTAAAGCCCTTGTGTTCATCCAGCACAGCCAGCAGCAGCTGCTCTGCCTCCCTCGCCCTGCGCCCAAACTCCCTTAAAGCATCGTTTGTCCGACTCAGTTCCTCTCTCATCGACGCCTTCCTCTCATCCCCTGTCTTGTCCTCCTCCATTCTCTGAAAATAAAAATAAAAATAAAAATGGGAAGGACGGAAGGGAAAAGGGACGCATGTTTGCCGGCACTTCTCTGCTCTGCTCTGCTTCCCTCGCCCTGCGCCCAAACTCCCTTAAAGCCTCGTTTGTCCTCCTCCATTCTCTGAAAAAAAAAAGGGGGGGGGGGAGGACGGAAGGGAAAAGGGACGTGTGTTTGCTGGCCCTGCTCTATTCTGATCTGCTCTGCTTCCCTCGCTCTGCGCCCTAAACTCCCTAAAATCCTCGTTGGTGCGACCCAGCTCCTCTCTCATCCCCGCCTTCCTCTCATCTCCTGTTTTGTCCCCCTCCATCCTGTGAGAAAACAATGGGAAGGACAGAACGAGAGGAGGGACGCGCTTTTGCTTTCTCCTCTCTGCTCTCTGCTCTGCTTCCCTCGCGCTGCGCCCAAACTCCCTAAAATCCTCGTTGGTGTGACCCAGCTCCTCGCTCATCCCCGCCTTCCTCTCCCCAACTGCCTGCTCCTTGATATCTCACCTTCCATGCTCTGGCCAGTGGCAGGGGGAGGGGCGGAAAGAGGCGACGCACAACAATGGAACGGGCAAAACGGGAGGGGTTGGTTTTGTTCAGCGCTATTCTCATCGCCACCTGGAAATGTTTTGAGACGTCCCAAAACTCAACGTTTATCACGTAGCGTTGGTTCGTCCGAGCTCCTCTCTCTCATCGCCACCTGGAAATGACATGAAAGGGAACACGCAGCGGGGAAGGGAGCCTTTTTGAGAATTCTAAAGAAAAACCTGCAACGCGAGGCGTTGGTTCGGCCGAGCTCTCTCTCATCGCCACCTGGAAATGACATGAAAGGGAACGCGCAGCGGGGAAGGGAGGCAGTCGCGCACCCTATGCAAGGCGATCAGCGTTCTTTGAGTCGACTCAAAACGCGCAGCGGGGAAGGGAATCGCGCACCCGCCTATGCAACGCGATCAGCGTTCTGCGTTCTTACCCAGACCGGAAAAAAACGCGTTGAGGGGAGGAAGAAATGTTCGATGTTCAGGCTCCTTCCGTTTCAGGCTCCTTCCGTTTCAGGCTCCTCCCGTTTCAGGCCTCCTCCTTTGCAACATTTCAATCACCAGGAGCAACATCCGTTCCAGAACCTCTTTCTGTTCCAGGCCCTTTTAATCTCAAGCCCCTCTTGAAACAGAAGATATATTCGTTGGAAGACCAAGTGCCGATTCGGACACCCTCTCTCGGCCAGTGACAAACGCGGGGGGTGAAAACCTCTCCTTGAGACGCCGTGTGAATGTATTGAGGGGTGCGGGCTGAAATGGCGTAACCCTAAAAACATGTAACCGGGCTAGTCGTTCGCCGAGAAATTCGCCGCTTCGCCCGGAAACGTACCTCCTGCTAGCGAATCAGAAGCCACTGAAACAGCGGTACTACGGAAATCCAGAACACGAACTTCACAGAGGTTAACAGATACTAGTTTCCTTCCAGAGGCACTCGAAGCGCACCTTTCGGCGATGATTACGGCTAGGCAGTGAGCTAGAGCGCGTGTGTTAGTGATAGACAGCTCTACAAAGTCGCGCGTTTTTACGCCTTACGAAAGTGTAGCGTCGCTACACTTTCGTAAATTACGGTACTCTAATCATTTCGTTGAATATCGTTGAATTTAGTTGAATTATCTGTCTTGATAATGCTTGACAAACAAATCAAGAACAGCAGAATCAAACACAATTGAGAACAAAACAGAGCAAAACAACAGAATACAATGACCCAAGTGCGAGCACATACAAGCATGACTACCACATTCCCAGCATCATATAATGAACATGGAGGTAAAACACCTTGATTGAATGAATGCAAAATTCTGTGACCTCCAGCTCACAAGTCAGGAGCATAGGGTATTACCCACCACCGCTTCTCTCCACCCCTTACCCTGCTCTTGCTTCCTGTCTCTACTCAGTTTCTTGTTCCGCTCCCCTTCTTGATCCTCGGCAAATTTCTGCACCTGTGCTACCTGCACTACCACTCCTCGTTGCTGCATTGCTGCTGCGGCACACCATCTACACCCTCGGGCTTATTCCGAGTCTGCTTATGACGAGGCGCCTCAAAATCGCATGCACGCCCAAGCTTATTGTGAAACCCTCGAACCGTTACATGGTGCAAGTTTGAACTTACACCTGTTCCTCCTCGGGTACATGTACCAAGGTGACTTTTGAGTTGACTCGAAACAGTTTTGGGCCATGAAATTGCTGCTAGTGCAGTAGGCACCACCGCCAACCAAGCGTGACGACGATGCAGGAACACATGCGAACTCCTGCCTTTTCTACCCTCCCTTCCATGCTGCTGTCTGCTCTTCTCCAGTGCTCCACCCTACCCCTCTTGTCCCTCCCCACTGCTTCTGCCCCTCCAATGTAGTCCCCTGGTACTGCTGTGTTCAGATCGTCATGTCAACTCCTGTTTCGGCATATCTGGGCCATGCACGGACAAGACCACACAACCGCGTTGAACCCCTTTGTTCTGCCTCCCACCTGCTCCAACCCTGATCAGAGCAGCAGCAGCAGCATCAGTAGGCAGAGTGCTGTTACTGGCTCTCTGCCACTCAAACCCATGAGCACCCCTCAGTACCCCTACTTAATCATTCGGAGGAGGCAGGGACGGAGAACTGCCTACTTGTTGTGCTGACCCCCCTGCTCCACACCATGACAGCAGCAGCAGTATCAGGAGAAAAATACCCACTATTGCCACAAGTGCCGTTACTAGCTCTCTGCAATTTAAACCCATCAGTACCACTGCTCCTCCCTCACTCTGCTCCCCATCACACTCCCCCCCTGCCCCCTTCCCTCCAGCTTTCGATCTCGACCGTCGCTTCTTCCGGTGCAGCGACAGCTGCCAGCCAAACACTAGCCGTTGATTCTCGCCTGCGTCGTCATCGTGGGCAGATCCCTGGCGTTGATCTTCGTCCTCGTCTTCCTCTGCTAGCCGCTGAGCCGGCCAATGGGCGTTCATCTGAGCGACCTGGCTGTTGTTTAATTGCAGAAGACCCTGGGAAGGGGAAAGGGGAAAAGGCAGGGAATAACAGGGAGCCTTATGAGGAACGTGTGGGATTCAGACAGCTGCTGTTGGTTCAATAGGCCAATGAGCGTTCATCTGTGGCTGTTGTTTAATTGCAGGAGACCCTGGGAAAGGGAAGGGGAAAAGGCAGGGAAGGGGAAAAGGCAGGGAAGGAGAAACGGCAGGGAATAGCATGGAACAAATGTATATGTTATTTAATAAAAAAACGGGAAACTCTACTAACCAGTTCCATTTCGGCCATGTCCATACGCCCGTCGAACAACAGCCTCCCCGACCCCATCTTCTCCTTCACCCCCCATTCCACCCGCCACCAGCACCCCCGACACTACACCTCCTGCTCCCCCTCCTGGATAAGCACAACCATATAAATCATACAGAAACAATAACTTACCAGTTCCATTTCGGCCATGTCCATACGTCCGTCGAGCAGCAGTCTCCCCGGCCACATCTTCTCCTTCTCGCCATACCCCCCGCCACCAGCCCCCCCGCCCGCTACACCTCCTGCTCCATCCTCCCCCGGCCTTTGAATCTGCTTTAGCCAGTAAACCAGACACTGCCATGACGGTTGTTGCTGCCGCCCGCGCCGCCACCGCCGCTGCTGCTGCCCCCACCACCCGCCGCTGCGGCCACTGCTACAGCCGCCTTGGCCGCCCGTGCCCGGGCCAAATCCGCCGAAGTTGCCACCTCCCCCGGTTGCGCCTCCCCCAAATAGCGGCGCGTGCTCCGAATCGAAGTGCTCACGACCCAATCGTGATCCCCCCAGCTGCGAATGACTCAGATGTGACCCGCGTAACTCAGCGCCAAATGCCGTTCGTGACGTTTCGAACGCCCCATTAACAGAGCCGTTACCAGCAGATCCGTTAAAAGCAGAGGCGTTAAGGCTGGCGATATCCTCGTCTTCGTCACTGAGTGAAACCCTAATCGCTTCCTGCCGGACCCGCAGCCAATCGCCGGCTGCCACGTCAGCATCGCCGCTGCCATCTAGGGCTCTGGTTGGGCTGCCGGCGATCCAACGGCTAAACGAGGACACGGCGGATGCGGAGGAGGAAAAGGCGGCTACCGCTGCGCCTGCTGCTGCGCCTGCGGCTGCGCCAGCTGCCGCCGCTGCTGCTCCTGCCGCCGCGCCTGCCGCCGCTGCTGCTGCGGCCACTGCGCCAGCAGCACCTGCTGATTCTATAATGTCCAACTCAGCAGAATGGGAAGCTGCTGTAGGACGGGGAGACGCGGAGCTCGCTAGCACTGCGGGAGCCGAGCCTACAGCTGAAACTCTGGCTGATTTTCGGTAAACGTCCTTGCTGTTATCCGCGATATTGTCGGCCCCGCTACTGTTGCTAGTTGCGCCACTGACACTGCTGCCGCTACTGACAATCGTGAAACTGCTACTGCTGCCGCCGCTGCTGCTTCTAGAAGCAGCGACACGTGGCGGCGTGAGAAACGCCGCGAGGCGACTGTCCAATGAGCTGTTGCTGCAGCTGCCGCTGCTTACGTCAGCGGCACGGAAAGATGAAGGAGAGACGAAAGCAGGGTTACCATCTGTTTCAGTAGGAGCAACAGCTGCTGCTGCTGCTGCTGCTGCTGCTCGGCTAGACGCGTTAGAAGCGGCCGCTGCCAAACCGGACGGAAAAGCGACTGTTATCCCGCCGGAATCCACGCCGCTAACCGCGCTACTGCTTCCGACCGAAGACCCGGAGGCGACGGTGGCATCTGCGGCGGGCGAGGCGCCGCCGATCGCGGGGCGAATGACGGCCTGCACCTGCTGCAGCTGCACGCGAATCGCGGAAACGAACTGGCGGCGCCGCTCGCGGGTTTCGTTCACGCTGGACGGCGCCTGGCCTAGCGCCTCGGCGCGCCACTCGTCGTCTCGCGCCGCGCGCTCGAAGGCTTCGAGCTGCCAGCGGAGCGTGTCGCACGCGCAGAGCATCACGAGTCGCACTCCTTCCTCGTCGACTTGCTGATCAACGGTCACAACCACCACATCCTCGTCGTCGCCGGACCGCACTGGCCATATGGAGTCGCCGTCATTGTCGTTTTCTGGGTGCGTTTGCCACGTGGCGGGTTCGTCTCCGCATTCCCGGCGCTGGAGGAGCAGCTGCCATTGGTGGAAGCTCGACTGCAGCCTGAAAAGAAGTGGAGATAGAGGGTAGAGAAGAAACAGTGAGGCGCCTACAAAAGGGAAAACTGGCCCTAGACTACATAGAGATTGGCTTGGAGCCTGAAAATACGGGAGGGTAAGAGGTACGTTCCGCAATATAGGGTTTGCGAGAAAAGGACCCGAAGGACAGACGGTCGCGACCAATAGAAGGATCCGTAATGGAGTGAAGCCGGTAGAAGGAGAGAGAGGGAGAGAGGGTAAGAGATTTGCAGACCTATAGGACTTTAAGAGATGCCTGCGCATGGCGACTGGACGCGGGCTGTGCCCACAAATTGAGGCGAGATTGCGAAGCGACGCGATGAAGAATTGCGACAAAATCGCGAGCCACTATCAGGACCTGCCTGCCGAGTCGCGGAGATGTGACAAAAGAGAAAAAAAGGAAGCCGGAAGACGGAGATAGGGAGAGAGGGAGGAGACACCTGTCTGCCGAGTCTTGCACCTCCTCAGCCGCGAGAAAAAGTGGGTCGGCCTGCCACGTGTACAACGTGGCGACTACCATGACTAAACGTGTGCACAGGAATACTCGCGATTCAGGTAGTATTAACGACCAATTTTGCACCAAGGTGTTCGCTCTATTGTGATTCTGTACCTGCTAAGCTGAACTGAACCGAACGGTTGACTAGACCTGCTTTGGCCAACTGGCTTACGTCAGCAATCGACGAAACTCTAATCGAAGGAATTCTGGAACCTGTCTCGCTGGCACCTCGGGAAGATCGAGCATGGAATCTACTATCGCATAAATACAGTTTTTAGAAGCCTAGGGCTGTGCGAGCAGCATCGAAGTTTACAAGAACAAGGGGAGCTGCTTCATTGAAGTTGACGAGTTCAGGTCGGGTCTGACAGGATCAAACAGCTGCAGCAGCATTGAAGTTGACGACGGGGCGAGAGAGGGGAGACGAACGAGCAAGAACAGGTGGTGAGGCGAGGAGGACGCGAAGCAGCACCAGTTGTGTGTTTGTGTGTGGTGTGGGTAGTGGGAGCAGCACCTGCCGTGTTCAATTGACTGGAGGTGGAAGACGGGCGTGGAGAGACTCGGCTCAGTGGAGAGACTCGAGGTTCGAGACTCGGTTCGGGGGAGTGTGAGGCAGACCCACGAGGTATCGAGACAGGACAGCGCGGCATATAGGTTGCTGTTCATTGGTGGATGGTCTCGAGGCGTTGCGGCGCCGAACCGAATCCGGTGGCTCGAGGCAAGGCTGTCCAGGTTTCGTTCCACTTGTAGGGTGGTGGTGGTTGGGTGGCTGGGCGGTGCAGCAACTTCGGTTCGGGAATGGGGGGAGGGTGGCAGGGGGAGGTTGGTCGGGTATTAGGTTGGGGAGGGGGGTGCGGTTTGGGGAGTTCAAAGAGGGGGGAGGAGGGAGGGTTGTTGTGGTACGATCATCAAGCGCTCTGGAACGCGTCAGCTGTGCAGAGCGGAGGTAGAAGAAGCCCCGCCGACGCGCTACTGTACACCAATGAACGCTGCCGGAAAGTCGAAATTGTAGGCTGGAGGAAGAAACGGTGGTCGTTTGTTGCTTTCTAAAGTTCGGCTGGGTTCGAGCATGATGTAGACTTCGTGGTCGGAAAAGAGCAGGTCCGAGGCACTTGTGGTTGGTGAAAGGTCAAATCACGTCGACAGAAAAAGACACATGGGGCAGGGATATGGATGATGGGCAGACATAGGGGAAACCGATTTGGTTTCCAGGCATAGCCACCACGACGATCGAGGCGCACGAGCTGTTCATGGCGCACATAGCTATGCCCGGCCTAGTCTGGGTTAGAGGTCCGGCAAAATGATAGGGCGGCTCGTCAACGCAAGCCTGTTTGCCCCACAACCACAACCCTCCCTGTGGCAGGCTTTGACGTTTCGTTTTCACTGCTGGCACTGTAACTAGCCATAGCCGTCAATTGCAGCTGACGTATTGGAGCTGGGGTCTTGGCTGCATCGAATGTTTGGGTCCCACTCTGACGGTTGACCTGCCAATCTGACGTCGCTGTTATACTGCCAGCTAATCCGCTGTGAATCAGCGCAGCATGGAGCCAGCTCTCAGTTACAGCGGCCAATATCATTGACACTCAAATGATGCCAGACGCGGTTTACGAACGTACTCGATCGACATTATTTCAGTATAGTAACTAAAACAGTGTTCCATTTATGGATAAGCACAATCTTGAAACAAAGTCGCCACCAGCAGGTCCACACATACCCAACAGAAAAGGAAACATACTAAAGCGCTTGGACAACAAGGACAGAATTTGCGAATATTGGCCCTAAATCAGGGATGTCGTCAGAATATGTGCTTGGACAAACGACACCGCCCAGCGGAGCTTGCTACACGCTGACAATAAAAAATAACCCTCCTATTGAAAGGCATCTAGTCAGGATGGCATCAACCCTAAACACCTTGTCGCATGATGTTGAGGGCTGATGCAATCCGAGGGGGTTTTAGTTTTCTTCTGTATGAGATCAGCAGGTCCACATTCGACGGAGAGTTGACGATGTCGTCGACCCTATTTCGTTGAGTTATTTCCAGCCTGCATTCTTTTTCCCAATGGTTTTTTTTTATCTTTACGAAACTGGAAATTGATTCAAAATTTCTTTGTAGAGGGTCGGGCATTCAATGTTTCTTTGTATATTCTTAGGTAGCACCTCGACACAATAGTGTACATTTATGTTCTGTAACCGCGTTCTGTTTCTGTCACATTTAGGAAGTTTTATTAGCGTGAAAAGTGTGATCGAAAAGCGATAACAGATCAGCGATGAGAAATCGAGGTTGAGTACCGATGCAAAAAGTCTCGCATACTTTTGAGTATCAATGATGTTGGCCACAGTTACATCCCCATCGATTTTTGTAGCGGGCAGGGTCGTCCAAATGTTTCGGAGGCCGATCCCTGACAACAACACCCGCAATGCAGAAAACCTTGTTAGGCGAGCTCTGGTTGGTGCTTGACATTCCACGTGCGTTGGATACAGTACGACCGACATGCAGCACCGTCCACGTTGAATCACAGCTGGACTCTAGTCTCAAGTCTCGATCGATGTCTCCACCACCAGAAAGTGCGTGACTGGAACGTGGATTCTATATAAGGAGATTACAGCGCAGCATGTTTGGTCATCCATACTTCGTGGCCAGTCAATGTGAAATTTCGCTTGAAGCAACTCGTTTAGCTTCACAAACGAGTCTCCCAAGCTCCTTCCAGAATACAGAGCACAGACACACTACTTTCACACATAAATTGAATTAAAAAATACACTCACAACCCCAATGGATCATACTATGACAACCGTCTACGTGAATGAGTTTTATCAAGCTCATCCACCTCTTCCCTCGCCACATCTCCGCTCCACGCACCGCTATCATCAGTCCAAGAGCTGTCGTACGCACCCTCAAGCAAACAATCACGACCTTGCTTTCCACTATCTTTCCCCCAAAAATTGGGCCTAGGGAATGGATTGCGACTTGATCCTTCCCCGCCCCTTATACCACCGTATATTGTGCTCAAACCGTGTGTATGTGTGTGTTTACCACGTTCTTGCTTATGTGGTGAAATTGCACCCTCTCGGCTGTAGTGCTGGCTGTGACTCTCCCCGCTTTGGCCAATATCAAGTGTGTGGCTCCCCGTGCGATTCTCCCGAACCTCATCCCTAGGTTCGGCAGAGGCTCTGGAGTGTGGTGGCGACTGTGGGGTTGCAGGAGAGTGTGCTGTGTGGTGGGTGCTGCGAGTGGCCGAGGAGAGGGAGTGAGAGAGTGTGAGGAGAGGGGAGATCGCTGCAAGTGGCCGGTCGGCTGGTTGACTCTGCGAGTTTCGGAACTGCGCAAGAGATGGGGTTGACTCTGTTGACTCTGTTGACTCTGTTGACCTCCTAGTTGACTGTAAATTCATCCCTGCTGGTGGCTGGCCGGCCGGTTGACTCTGCAAGTGCCAGGACTGTAAATGCGATGGGGTTGACTGGGTTGACTTTTGGGTTGACTCGGTTGACCCCTGAAGGTCGGACTCACAAGAAGACAATCCCAGGTCGCCACTGCAAAAAGGAAGGGGGGAGGATGGGGGGCAAATCTCATGAGTGCTGTGTAAGTGTCGGAACTGTGAAGGCAATGTGGTTGACCTGGTTGACCTGGTTGACTCAAGGTTTGACTCAAAAGACAGCAATCCCAGGTCCCCACTGCAACCAACAGGGGGGGAAGGAAAGGGAAGGGAAGAGGGGAGGCAGAACGAGGAAAGGGGGAGATCTCATGAGAGCTGTGTGAGTGTCGGAACTGTGAAAGCAATGTGGTTGACCTGGTTGACTCAAGGTTGGAATCAAAAGACAACAATCCCAGGTCCCCACTGCAACACACAGGGAGGGAAGCAACCCCCGCTGCCCCACTCTTGCCAACCCTACGCACCAGGCACCCATTCGTGCTTCCGCACCTGTAGTCCAATCCCTTGAACAGTCGTCCTCAGCAGTCTCGGCATGGCAGCTCTTTCTGCCTCTGGCACAGGCGGCAGCAGGGGATGGTATATCTGGGGAGGGGACGTGGGACTGCAAGCAGGTCTCACCTGTAGTCCAATCCTTTGAACAGTCGTCCTCAGCAGTCTCGGCATGGCTGACCGTTCTGCCTCTGGCACGGGCGGCAGCAGGGGATGGTATATCTGGGATGGGGAAGTGGGACTGCAAGCAGGTCTCACCTGTAGTCCAATCCTTTGAACAGTCGTCCTCAGCAGTCTCGGCATTGCAGCTCTTTCTGCCTCTGGCACAGGCGGCAGCAGGGAAAAAGCACCCCCCCCTGCCCCACTCACGCCAACCCTACGCACCACCCACCCTATATCTCCTCACCTGCAGTCCAGCCCAGCCCTTGCACAGTCATGTCATCTCAACCCTAGCCACCACACACCCATTCATGTTTCCTCACCTGTAGTCAAGCCCTTGAACAGTCATTCTCAGCAGTCTTGGCATTGAAGCTCTTTCTGTCTCTGGCACAGGCGGCAGCAGGGGAAAAGCAACCCCCCCTGCCCCACTCCCCTCGCCCCCCCTCATACTCTCCCCTCCCCACGGGTTTTCAAACCCATCCTCTGCTGATAAGTAAGAAGCAGGGGAGGCGGCAGCTGGGGAAGGTATATCTGGGGAGGGGTAGTGGGGCGGTGGGAAGGAGGGATGGTGGCGTCTGGGCGTGTGGTGTGGGGAGGCGAGGGAGGAGGAGTGAGAGGGGGAGTGAGAGAGGGAGTGGGTGAGGGAGTGGGAGCGGGAGTGGGAGGGGAAGTGAGGGGGTTGAGGGGAGGAGTAGGGGGAGTGATGGGAGGGGCGGAGGCGGGAGGGATGGGTGTGAGGGTGAGGGAGTGAGGAGAGGGAGGAGAGCGGGGGGGTGTGTGTGGTGGGGCGCGAGGGGGAGGAGTGAGAGGAGGAGTGAGAAGAGGAGAGGAGAGATCGGGAGGGGATGGAGGTGAACGGGGTCTGATGAGGATGAAAAGGGACACGGGAAGAGGAGGAGGAGGACGAGGAAGAGGAGGAGGAAGCAGCAGCAGTGGTAGTGGTGGCAGTTGCTGTTGGGGCGGAGCCGGATTTCCTGGGGAAACCGGGGAGAGCAAGCAGGGCGAAAGGGAAAATACGGGGCATAGATGGAAGAGAGGGGATGAGATGGGGAGAGGGGGAAGAAGTGGCGTGGAGGGATGTGGAAGTGAATGGGAGAGGAGCTGACAAGAGTGCACCCAGAAAGTAGGAAACACACACACACACACACACACACACACATGTCTTTCTGGTTACTTACCATGCTGCTGCTGCCATAGGGTCTTCAGACTGGATTTGACGCAGCAGCTGCGAAGGGGGAAGAAAACACCATTCGGAGGAAGGAGAATGTTTGATTGTACAAATAGTATGTAAATTTTGACAGAAACAAATACGCACATAAAACAAACACTCGGATGCAGTGCAATGCAAAGGCAAGGATGTTTGTTTGGACCAAGGATGGCATGTACGCATGCATGCAATGCGCATGCTGGAGTAGGGCTCAACAGCAACACACATCCCAGCCCCTGCAGCCACCCTTGCACACAACACAGGCCATCACGTGCACATACTCTAGGTTGGCAGGAACTTGGAAGGTAGGTAGTATGCTAGTAGAACTCACCTCCACCACTTGACTCATAGCCAGGCGTTTCCCAGCATCAGCAGCAACACACATCCCAGCCAAAGCAGCCACCCTTACACACAGGTCACAACTGGTCACACTGTTACACACTCTCACCTCCACTACTTGAATCATCGCCGGTATTTCCCAGCATCAACAGCAAAACACACATCCAAGCCAAAGCAGCCACACTTGTATTGAACGCAACGCAAACACACGCACTGGTCGGACACATAGACACTTGGTTGTAAGGTAGATAGGACGCACCTCCACTACTTGACTCATGGCCGGCCGTTTAGCAGCCTCAACAGCAACACACATTCCAGCCACAGCAGCCACCCGAACCAGACTCCCCTCGTCGAACCTCCCCTCCAGCGACGGATCCGCGAGCTGCCGAACCTGCAGCCTAGGTTCGGCAAGCAGCGGCCTGGCCCACTGCACGAGGCTCTCCACACCTCCAGGCTCGGTCCGGACCACAGGTTTACGTCCAGTGAGGAGCTCTAGGAGTATAACCCCAAAGCTGTACACGTCACTCTTGAGACTGAAACTCCCTGTGAGTGTGTATTCTGGCGCCATATACCCGAACGTGCCCACCAGATGTCCTGATACCATTTGTGCTGATACCATTTGTGCGGCCACCTTTTTCGACTGATCTACCATGCCACCTCCTATCCCTCCCATCAACCATCCTCCCTCACCCTCCCCGCCTTCCCCCCCTTCCTCTTGCTGCTCTCCTGTTCCCCTCTCTTCCCCAGCCGTCACCACCGCCCTAGCCAGCCCCAAATCAGTGATTTTAGGAACAAAGTCTCTACCAATCAGCACATTAGCAGATTTCAAGTCTCGGTGAATGATTGAAGGAGATGCATCCTCATGCAAGTACCGAAGGCCTTGAGCAATCCCTAGCGCTATTTTGAGCCTCTGAGGCCAATCCAAGGGGGAGCGAGGAGGGGGGGTGAGGGGAGGAGGAGGAGGAGAGAGAGGAGGAAGTAGAGGATCGTGAAGAATGCCTCTTCCTCCTTCTCCTGCTCCTTCCTCCCCACTTCCTCCCCATTCCCCTCTTTCTCCTTCCTCCCCTGCTCGTCCTCCAGGTTCTCCCCTTTCCCCTCTTTCTCCTCCTCTCCCACGCAGCAGAGAGTGCAAGGTACCCCTTTCCACCAACTCAAAAACCAGGCACCGAAAATTCCCCTCTCGGCAGATTCCCAGAAGCTTCACGATGTTTCTGTGATTTAAGCAGCTTAGAAGACGCGCTTCGGCTGTAAAAACTTTATCAAAATCGAGTTCCCTTACAGGGGGGATGTCTTCCGAACCTGCTCCCCAGCCTGCTCCCAAACCTGTTCGCAAGCCTGCTGCTCCCGAGCCTTGCTTTCCCGAACCTGCTCCTGCTCCTGGTGCTGCTGCTGCTGCTACTGCTGCTGCTGCTGCTGCTTCTGCTGCTGCTGCCATAACCATAGCTGCTCTTGCTGCTGGCTCATTTAGGTTTGGCGACCCAGCCACAGCCGAGGCTTGGAACGAGGTTCGGGAGGAGAGAAGCAGCTTCACAGCAACCGGCGTCCCGTTTTCCAAAACCCCCTTGTACACCCGACTAAACCCTCCCTGCCCGATCAGCCTGCCCGAGCTGAAATTTTCCGTTGCTGCCTGGATCTGCGAGACCGAGAACGAATACGACCCGTCACAAAAGTTTCCGAGCTTTAGGGACGTTGCAAAAGGAATGCCGGAACGTTCGGGCTTTAAGTGCCTTTTCTTTGTCTTCTTGCCCCTCCTCCCACCTACCTCCTCACCCACTCCCCTACTAATCTGGGTTCCGGCATCCCCTCCCACTCCTACCCTCGAACCTTCTTCCCCTCCCACAGAATCCCCTCCTCTTCTATCGGAGAGGGTAGGCATATGAGGAGGGGAGGAAGGAGAAGAGGAGTAATCACGTGGAGGGGAGTAGAAGTTTGTTCGTTTACCAGGTGAATGCACCCCTGCTGCAGCTGCAGCAGCAGCAGCTGCAGCTGAGCTTGCTTCAGCAAGCCACGCGCCATCCCCCTCCTCCTCTCCCTCACTCCCTCTCCCCCAAAACGGTCCGACTGTTCTCACTCCCTTCAAAGCGTTTCTCTGAGCCTTCCGGGTAACCAGCTTGTTCCACACTATTGCAACCAGGGTAACCAGCGCAAACACCCCCACGGGGATTCCGATTATTAGGAGGATGAGGAGAGAAGAGAGAGAGGAGGAGGAGGGGGGAGAGGAAGAGGAGGAGGAGGAAGGGGAGGACGAGTCACTGGCGTTGGTGCTATTAGAGGTGATGGTGGGTGAGAGTGGCTGATCGGGAGAGGGAGGAGGAGGAGGGCTGGGGAATGGTTGACCTGAGAGGGGGCAGGGAACAAAAAAGAGAGAGGGGGACGAAAGGAGGGAAGATGAGAGGGGAGGATGAGTCACTAGTGTTGGTGCTATTAGTGGTGATGGTGGGAGAGAGAGGCTGATCGGGGGAAGGAGGAGGAGGAGGGCTGAGGAAAGGTTGACCTGACACAGAGCACAAAACAGGAAACAAAACGGGCAAAGAGAATTTCAAGACCAACTTCCTTCGTCTCCAGTCAACTTTTTTTTTTTTTTTTTTTGGTGATTGCTGAGACAATCCAAGAACTCAACCCTAAACACAGTAGTGTACAAAGTAGTTTTTTTATAAGCTTCAAACTAAACTCTGTACACTGAAGTGTACCCAATCCAGCAAGACACCAGCGCAGCCCAACTTACCCGGGTCTAGTATCGAAAGAACGGTAAATTCCCCAAACAAACTCGGGTCCGGCTCAACTTGTCCCCCCAGCAACACCTGTCGAATCCTCGACACCTCGGTCCGATTCAGCTGCACCAGCAGCTTCCCCTGGGAGTTTTGATTCTCTGCTCTCGCCAACACACGTGAATGCCTCTCCTCTGATGCTTCCACTACTAACCCTCCTTCCGCTACCTCAGTCCGATTCAGCTGCACCGGCAGCTTCCCCTGGGATTTCTGATTTCCTGCTCTCTCCAAGACACGTGAAATCCTCGTCTCTTCAGCCCTGTCTTGGTCCCCCTTGCTTCTTTCGAAGCTCATCCCACCGCTACTTGACGCTGCTGCTTTCACAGCTTCCTTCTCTGCTGCTTGCATTGGATCGCTCTTGAGGCGCCTCACTAAACCCCCTGCCTCCGCTGCTCCTGATGATGCCCCTGCTACCTCCGCCGCTTCGTCCCATTCCACTGCTGCTGCTGCTCCTGCCCCAGCCTCCGCTGCTGCTGCTGCTGCTGTTGTTGCCCCTTCCCCTTCCACTGGCAGGAAATACGCAGTAACCACAAGCGCCGTAGGATCTGGATCGTACGTGACAGCCCAGACCTCCACTTGTGTGGGCTGTAGGAGGAGGGGAGAGGCGACCTCTTGGGCGAACACGGGGACGTTGTGTAGGAAGGAGTCGAAGGAGGAGTGCAGGCGAGCAATCAAAACCATTGGGAGGGCGCAGGAGCAGGGGAGGGAGGGGGATGCGGCTGGGAGGAGGACGGTCGGGGATGGGCAGGGGGGGCAGTCTGGGGGAAAGTAGGGGGAGGAGAGGGTGGGAGAAAGCAGAGGATAAATTGTCAGGAAAGAACAAGGGGACGCTGTGTAAGAAGGTGACTTTTGAGTCGACTCAAAAGTCAGTTAGAAAGAAGAGGATGAATTGTCAGGAAAGAACACAGGGACGTTGGATAAGAAGTGACAGCCCAGACCTCCACCTGAGAGGGCTGCAGGAGGAGGAGGGGAGAGGCGAGCTTGCATTTTGAGGCGCCTCAAAAGCATTGAGGTGTATTTTGAGGCGCCTCAAAGAACACAGGGACGCTGTGTAAGAAGTGACAGCCCACCCACACCTCCACCTGAGAGGGCTGCAGGAGGAGGGGAGAGGCGAGCTTGCGCCCAAACACGGGGACGTTGTGTAAGGAGTGAAAGGAGGAGTGGAGGCGAGCTATGAGCACCATTGGGAGGGCGCAGGCGCAGGGGAGAGGAGAAAGGGAAGAGGACGGTGGGGTTAACAGGGAGGGGGTGGGGTGGGGGAAAAGAGGAGAGAATGGTGGGAGAGAAGCAATCAGCGAAGGGAGAGAGGGGGGAACGAGAGGGAGTGGTGGAGAGAGATGGAGAGAGGTGGGAATAAAGAGCAGAGAGGGGAAGCAATGAGAGAAGGGAGGGGGGAACGAGAGGGAGAGGTGGAAAGGGAAAGAACTCACTTCGGCTGTCAGGAGGTGGGGCGGAAGGATGAGCGGCGGTGCTGGTGGTGGGGAGAGGGGGGGAGAAGAGGGGGAAACTAGAGAAGAGCGGGGAGGAAAGAGAGGGAACTCACTTCGGCTGTCGGGAGGTGGGGGCGGAAGGATGAGCGGCGGTGACGGCAGGACAACGGCAGGGCTTGATGGGCCGATGGTGAATGCAGGAGGAGGGGAAAGCAATCAGAGAAGGGAGGGGAGAACAAGAGGGAGAGGTGGGAATAAAGGGCAGAGAGGAGGGAGGAGGGAGGGGAAGGGAGAAAACTAGAGAAGGGAGGAAGGAAAAAGATAACACTCACTTCGGCTGTCGGGAGGTGGGGGCGGAAGGATGAGCGGCGGTGGCGGTGGTGGTGACGGCAGGACAACGGCAGGGCTTGATGGGCCGATGGTGAATGGAGGAGGCGAAAGCGGCGGAGGGGGAGGAGGAAGCAGTGAAGGAGGAAGAGAAGGGGTGAGAACTCCAGGAGGAGGGGTGGATTGGAGGGGAGGAGGAGAGGGAGCAGGAGGGGAAGGAGGAGGGGGAGGAGGAGGGGGGGTTGTGAGGGTGACTGGTGGAAAGCTGCGGGGTGTGCCGGCATAGAGAGGGGGGTGGTGTTTTATAGGGTGATGGAGCGGAGGGGGAGGGGGATGGGGAGGGGGATGGGGAAGGAAATCTGGCAGGGGAGGGGGGAGTGAGGGAGGGGGATGGGGGAGAGTGTGCGGAGGGGGGTAGAGTGAGGATGGAGGGTGAGAGGAGGAAGGAGGTGGGGGAGGAGGAGGATGAAGGGGAGGAGGAGGGGATGAGGAAGGGGTGGAGAGAGTGGGGGCAGTTGGGGGGAAACGATGGGGCTGGGGGGAGAGAGGTGCGGGGGAAGGAGAACGGGGGAAGACAGCAGGGGCGGAGGGGGAAGGGCTGGGAGCAGGGGAAAGGCACGGAGGTTCGGCAGAAGGTACGGCAGGAGGTTCAGCAGGAGGCTGGGAAGGGGGAGGGCGGTTGGGGGCGCGTGGGGGGTGACGTTTAGGGGGTCTGTGCGGGTGAGGGGGAGGTTGGGGGGGATCCGGGGGAAGGGGGGAAGCAGCTGGGGGAAGCTCAGGGGGAAGGGCGGTTGCAGAGGGCGCTGGGGCAAGGGCAGGGGAAGGGGCAGGGGAGATGGGGGTGGGGAAATCAGGGGAAGGGGCGGGGGCGGGGGCGGAGGGGAGAGAGGGGAAAGGGGAACCTACAGGGGGAAGAGAGGGGGAAAGCTCGGGGGGGAGGGCAGGGGAAGCAGCAGGAGAGGGGGAAAGAAGCGATGGGGGATCAGCAGAAGGGGGGAGAGTGGGGTTGGAAATAGTTTGGGGAGGGGGAGGAGGAGGATAGGAGGTGGAGGTACTAGGAATGAGAGAGATAGGAGGGGTGCGAGAGGAGGGGGGAGGGGGGGATTGAGAGGATATAGGAGAGGAGGGGGAGGAGGGGGGAGGGGAATCAGCAGTAGGAGTGAGGGTGCCTAGGTCTGGGGGAGGGGGAGAAGGAGGGGGGACGAAGGGGAGGGCAGGGGGGGAGGCTGGGGGGAGGACAGGGGGAGAGGCGGGGGAAAGCGCAGGGGGAGAGGCAGGGGGAAGTGCAAGGGGAGAGGTGGGGGGAAGTGCAGGGGGAGAGGCTGGGGGGAGTGAGGGGGGAGTAGCAATATCGGGGGATGGGGCAGTGGGGAGGGGAGAGGGGGCAGCGGCAGGAGGTTCGGAAGGAGGAGAGGCCGCTGCAGGAGGTTCGGCAGGAGGTGCAGCTGCAGGTGGTTCGGGAGGAGGTGCGGCAGGAGGTTCGGGAGGAGGTGCAGCAGGAGGTTCGGCGGCAGGAGGTTGAGCTGGTGCCTGGCCTGCTGACGTGGCGCCTGCTGACGTGGCACTGCGTGCCTGCCCACTCAGCCTCACACGCAGAGCCACCCGCCTTCTTGACACAGCTCTCCCCCATGTCTGGCAATGAGGAGAAGGGGGAGGAGGAGAGAAGGGCAGAGAGTCTATTTTTTAGGCACCTCAAAAATAGAGGCCTCACACGCAGCAGAGCCACCCGCCTCCTTGACGGAGCTCTCCCCCATCCCATGTCTGCCAACGGGGAGGAGGAGGAGAAGGGCAGAGAGGGGTAACATGTTATGAGTCAGCTTGGTAACCATCTCCTTGTGCTCCTTGACACAGCTCTCCCCCATGTCTGCCAACGGGGAGGAGGGGGAGGAGGGCAGAGAGGGGTGGGTAGAATCTTATGAGTCAGCTTGGTAACCATGTGCTTGCACTGCGTGCCTGCCCACTCAGCCTGACGCGATCGCACGCACGCACACACATCGCTCACGCACACACGCACACACATCGCTCACGCACACGTACACACGGAGGCGCATTGTGAGCTTGGTAAGATGCGAGAACGGTTACGCAAAAAAGAGTATCTACATTTCTTAAAGACACGTACCAGTGTGGTTCTGTTGATGAGCCACAATGGCCGACCCACAACCGCCCTTGCAACAGCTCTTCCCACCTTTTGGCGCGCCGCAAACCCCACACCACCCCTCTCATCGCCTGCTCCTGCCGTTTGAAGTGCCTCAACCCCCACACCACCCCTTGCAACAGCTCCTCCCGCCTTTTGACGCGCCTCAAAAGGCACAGCACCCCTCTCAACGCCTGCTCCTGCCTTCTGACGAGCCTCAAACCCCACACCACCCCTTGCAACAGCTCCTCCCGCCTTTTGACGCGCCTCAAAAGGCACAGCACCCCTCTCAACGCCTGCTCCTGCCTTCTGACGAGCCTCAAACCCCACACCACCCCTTGCAACAGCTTCGCCCATCCCTTCGCCATTCCATCCACCTCCCCTCCCCCTTCCCTGCCTCTCCCCTTCGCTACTCACACCTCTCCCTTCTTTCCTATCCCCTGCCGTCCCACCCCCTTGCTCCGGCGTCATACCCTCTCCCGTTCCACTTTTCATCCCCTCTCTCTCCTTGCTCTCTCCTCCACTTCTCATCATACCCTCTCTCTCTATGCGCTCTCCCTCTGATCTCATTCCCGCTCGCTCCTTGCTGCAACTGACGCACAGAAACAGCACCGGTCCTCTGCCTGCTGTTTCTTCTTCCTCAGGTGGCTTGTGGGCTGACTCAGACGCCACCTTGCTGCCACTGAGACACAGAAACAGCGTTCCCCCTCTTGTGACCGCACTTTCCCCCCTCTCTGGTGCTTCTCCTTCCTCAGGGGACTTGTGAGCCGAACCAGAAGTCATCTTGCTGCCACTGAGACACAGAAATAGTGCGGCTACTTTTATGCCTGCACTTTCCCCTTCCTCCTGTGCCTCCCGAATGGCTTCCCTTACTTCCTTTCCTTTCACTTCCTGTTGCTCCTGCTGCTGTTGCTCCTGCTGCTGTTGCTCCTGCTGCTGTTGCTCCTGCTGCTGTTGCTGCTGCTGCAACTGCCCCTCCTGCTGCTGTGTCTCTCCCGTTCTCTCACCCTCTTCCCTACCCACACCACCCCTCTCGCTCTCACTCCCCTCTCCCTCTTGCCTCTTTCCTTCAATCGCCTCATCTCTGCTCGCAGTTTCAGACATCACAAATTTTCCACACTCTAACCTCAAACGCCCTTGGGTTACATTCTGTAACCACCCCTGCTCCCATGGGCACGTTTTGAATATTCTCAGAATACGCCCTTGGGTTGCATTTAACAACCACCCCTGCTTTGGTAGGCATAGGCGGATACTGGACAGGTGGGACCGGGGTGGGTCGGTGGGTGGTAGGCTGAAATTCGGGACTTCAGCTGCAGAGCAGGAGTGCAGCAGGAGAGGGTGTGGGCACTGTAATGGGTACAACTGGGGTGGTTCAGTGGGTTGCTGGTTGAGATCGGATGGGTCGAATGCGGTGCAGGAATGCAGCAGGAGAGAGTGGGGGCACTCGGATGGGAGCAGCTGGGGCGGTTCAGTGGTTTGTTGGCTGAGATCGGATGGGTCGAATGTGGTGCAGGAATGCAGCAGGAGAGAGTGGGTGCACTCTTTTGGGAGCAGCTGGGGTGGATCAGTGGGTGTGGGTGGTGGACTGAAATCGGATGGGTTGAATGCGGGGCAGGAGTGCAGCAGGAGAGAGTGGGCGCACTCTTTCGGGGGCAGCTGGGGTGAATCAGTGGGATGTCGGATGAGATAGGATGGGTCGAATGCGGTGCATAGGTGCAGCAGGAAAGAGTGAGCGCACTCTATTGGGAGCAGCTGGGGCGGCACAGGAGAGGCGCTGGCGACGACACAGCAGCACCGGCACTGGAGGTCTGCGGGGGTGGAGAAGAGGGGGAGAAGGAAAAAGGGGGGGAAGAAGGGGGAGGAGGGGGAGATGGGAGGAACGGTTAGAAGAAGTGCTGGTGACGACTCAGCAGCACCGGCACTGGAGGTCTGCGGGGCTGGGGGGATGGGGAGACGGGGAAAGGGGGAGATAAGGAGGGGAGGGCGAGCGGGGGACGATGGGCCGGCACAGGAGAGGCGCTGGTGACGACACAGCAGCACCGGCACTGGAGGTTTGAGTGGGTGGGGGGAGGAGGGGAGGGGAAAGGAAAAAAGGGGGGAAAGGAGGGGAAAAGGCGGAAATGGGAGGCGTAGTTGGAAGAGGCGCTGGTGACGACACAGAACTGGAGGTCACTGGAGTGAAGCGAGAACGATTAGGAGCAACCTGCTTCTAAATATTCTCAAAAGCGGCACTGGATGTTTGAGTGGGGGAGTGGAAAGGGAAAATGTGAGGAACGGTTGGGAGCAACCTGACTCTCCTCCCTTTTCCCCGTTCTCTTAGCCCTTCCCCTCCACCCTCAACGCCTACCCTCTCTCCTCCCTTTTCCCCATTCCCTTCGTCCTTCTCCCCCACCCTCAACACCTACCCTCTCCCCCCTTTTTCCCGTTCTCTTCTTCCTTCCCCCCCACCCTCAACACCTACAAACTCCTCCTCGTTCCCCGCTCATTTAGCCCTTCCACCCCTCCCAACACCCACCCTCTCCCAAGACGCCACGTGTACAAGCAACGAGGAGGCAGATCGTCAGGAGAAGCCGCCGGTGCGCCGCCGTGCGCCCCGCGAGCTGCGGCAGCCCGCTCAAACGCGGGGATGCAGAGCGCAACATGCAATAATTACGCCGGCTCGAGGCGCGTCATTGTATTGGACTCAACGGTCACCCGTAGCGGCGAATCGCTCCGAAGCGTGATACTAGCGGCTTCTCTTTCGTCGTCATCAGAGACGTGTCATTCAAACGTCGTCTCTAGTCCTCCCGAATCGTCACGAATCGTCTCGAATCGTCTCGAATTGTCGTCTCAAATCGAGTCACTTCCTTCACGTATTATTACCGCTTTTTGAGTCCAATGACGGACTTCTGAGTCGACTAAAAACTCTCGTCACTCACAGCTGTCCCTGTCATTCAAACTATCGTCTCGGATGGTACCACGGCATTCGTACCACTATTGCACGCATTCTTACGCAGATTCGTTCCGTTATAGACTGATTCGTCATTCCTGTGCCAATGCGGATGCGGGCCTTGTCGGAGCTTCACTAGCATTGTCGCGGTCAGCGGGAGATTCTCTAGTAGCAATGAGATGTGTCGTCGCGCGTCGTACGTCGTTCGTCGTGCGACGTGCGTCGCGAGTCGTGCGTCGCGCGTTCGACGTCGAGGTTCGTCGTTCTACGTCAGGCTGTGCGAGCCCACGCCGCTCTATCTGTCCTCAAATAGGCTATTATCTGTCTAACTGGCGAAGGCTTTCCAAATACACCATGGCTTCAAGGCAACGCCGACGCCGTCAGTCTCTCGTTCTAAGATTTGCACGGTGCCTTTCTCTGCTCGATGTCGACTACCGTATCAAACGTGACGGAACCTTAGCGGTTAGGACGGATAGAATGCCACGTGCGGTTTGAGAAGGCTGACACGTGTGATTCGGAGAGGCCGACCGTGTGCGTCGTAAGTGTCCTTGCTACATCGCATCCGTTTTAACTCGCATCGCAGCCTTCCCTAAAGCCGTCGCCGCCATTGTAAACTGCAGTTGCAACGAATAGTACCGCGAAAGGCTACAGGAGAGTTGGAGTCCTAGGCGAGAAGAGCCAATCAACCTGCCTCATGCTGCTCTGGTCCAGAGGAAGTCGTCGGGAGGCATTTGGGTGACAGTAAGGACTTCAGGAAACCAGCTTCAGCCAGGCCAGGGGGGGTTCGTGCAGAATGTCGTGCCTACTATAAATACGATATCGCATGGTCTAGTACGGTGGAGAAAAGATTCGTCGCAGTACTGGAACGATCAATTGACCTTCTGTAAAAAGGTCTGGCGACACGGTGCAATGCGGTATTCCGTCCGTTCTCTTCGGTACAGTATCCCGAGGCACAGCCCAGCCAAGAGACCAAGGTGTTCCATTGGTGGGGGGGACCTTCGGTCTCGGACATTCAAAATCATTACCGTATCAAACCACGCTGAAAACACTCTGCATCGTAACGGGGGCTGGTGAAAGGGGGTTTGGGAAATGGTGCAGGCACCATGCTCGTGATTGGTTGGATGCTGCCCTTGGGGTTGCCGAACGTCGAGGGAGAGAATTTCTGTCTTGTTGTTCTTGGCTGGTGTACCAGACTGGCGGAAATGCAGCCCGCGGAAACGGTGTGTGTGTGCGTGGCTGCTAGCTGCAGAAGAAAAGCGTCTCGCCTCCCCACGATGGCATCGCCGGAAGACGCATGTGTCCAGCGTGTTTGGTGCTAACTTCAAGACATGCTTTAATATTTACATAAGACGATTTAGCGTAGAGAAAAGAAGGCTCTGTATACCGTAGCACAAGATGTTACCGAAACTATCTTCGACGAAGCACACCTATGGTCCATGCTGCGTGCGACACACGTTGCGCGAACTGCGTAACGAAATAATGGTAACGACAGTCCCCGAAATGTCCAGCACGAAATCATGCATCAACTCTCTAACTGATCGAGACCTCAGGTAATTCCTGAGGACGCATTTCATGCTCGTACCATTCTCTGTCTCTTTTACCGTGCAGCTAACTCGAGTGCTTTGGCGGATTGTTTCATGTTTAGAGCAGACCTGCGGAAGAAGGTATTGAAACCATGTACTCCGAGTTTGGTAACCAGTTCTAGTATAGCCGCTGATTGCTGCTGGAACACGCCTCAGCTACTCTTAGAGCCAATGTTGAACTAATGGCAGCAGCTGATAACTCGAACCATGCGAAATATATCACAGATTTGCAGCGCCAACAGCAGACATCCCGCACCATCCGTCACGCCATAGCTCTGTGTCTCCAGCTGAATGCAGACTCGTGTACTCGCGTCTCGTGATCGGCGCTTGGCTAATTTGTCTGTTCGTAGTCTTTGCGTGCTTCGGGTTTCCAATCTTCCCGCAGCAGACGATTCTGCCAGTCCGCGTGCGCTCCCTCTTCGCCTTTCCAGCCAATCTGCTCCTGCGAAAATATTTGCGAAGGGATCTATCGACGTTCTATCCTGCGGTTGTTTCTTTTCTCTTTACAAACGGTTGTGTTAGTTGCAGAGCGGTCACGATGTTTGGAGGAGGGTTCAAAGGCTCGAAGCTGTAAGTCATGACGCTCGCATGTTCTTAGCATTGATAGAAATAGCGAAGATGTAAGCACGTTGAGATTCTTTACAATTTGTAGCATCGTCGTCCATGGGTGTTGATGCATCACCTTTATCCGTCGTTCACTCTCCCGCTCTCCTCATATTCGGTTCCTCACCGAAGATTTACCGTATGCTTTTCGAAGAAAATGTCCTTCAACTTCTATGGTACACTCTGTCCTCGTTACAGGAAGACTCAGCTTCAGCTGTCGGCGTCGCGAATCACGGTGATGCGCAACAAGCGGCAGAACGAGCTCAAGTACAAACGGCGCGAGGTGGCGATGATGCTCAAGGGCGGCCAGGAGGCTCGAGCTCGTATCAGGGTACGCATAACGCGTTATAACGTTATGCATTCATTATGAATGCATACGCATATCTTTAAATTCATACAATGATGCGCAACAAGCAGCAGAAAGAGAGGTGGCGATGATGCTCAAGGGCGGCCGAGAGGCTCGAGCTCGTATCAGGGTACGGGATACGCTTTATAACGTTGCATAAAATGTGACTGCGTACGTGTATAGTATTAGTATACAGTGATGCGAAACAAACGGCAGCACGAGCTCAAGTACAAACGGCGTGAGGTGGCAGGCAATGATGCTCATGATTCTCGAGGTCAGATATGTTACATACGCTTTACAAGGTGCTGAAAGTGTTGACGGAGGGCGATGGCAATGATGCTCTATAGGCGAAGGTTCAATTTTGATAAACAATGAGCTGGAATTTCTGCATTGTGTGTTTGTGACAGTAACGAGCGAGCCAAGCGATGCCTTGTTGTCTTTAGAGCTAATTGGCTGAAATATTTTCTATCTACACCTCCGTCCGATGTGTGTATGTTCTTCAGGTGGAGGAGCTTATAAGGGAGGAGAACACGATTGCCGCTTACGACGTCCTGGAGCTCTTCTGCGAGCTGCTGGTGGCCCGCATCCTCATTATAGAGTCGCAGAAGTGAGTTCTGTAGGGTGTACGGTTATACACCCCTTACCCAGCTTTTCATGATTACTATGTGGTTTTTGTGATGTTCTGGTGGGAGGGGCTGGTGGGCACCTGCGGGAAGGGTCTTTGAACGTCGCCAACGTCCCTGTTTTGACTGATTGATTGATTTCAGGACCTGCCCGGTGGACCTGCGGGAGGCGGTATCGAGCATCATTTTTGCTGCCCCGCGCTGCTCCGACCTGCCCGAGCTCGCCGAGGCGAAGAAACTCTTCCAGCAGAAGTTTGGGCGTGAATTTGTGATGGCAGCAGAGGAGCTGCGGCCTGAATGTGGGGTGAATCGAATTGTGAGTGTTGTGTGTGGATGGATGGATGCATATGTATAGAGCAGTATGTATGGGGTTTACCGGAACTCTGAGGTGGGAATTCGTTCGTGATGGCAGCAGAGGAGCTGCGGCCCGAATGTGGAGTGAACCGGATTGTGAGTGTTGGTGTCGTGGGGTGGATGGATGGATGGATGTGTATGTACAGAGCGGTATGTTTGGGTTTCACTGGAAGTTTGGGCGGGAGTTCATGATGGCAGCAGAGGAGCTGCGGCCTGAATGCGGAGTGAACCGAATCGTGAGTGCTGGGATGTGGTGCAATGTGGTGCAGCGGAGAGAAAAAGCAGGGAATTTGCGTGTCACTTGTTGCTGCTCTGCTCTTAGATAGGGTTGTTGTGGCGGGAGTTCGTGATGGCAGCAGAGGAGCTGCGGCCCGAATGTGGAGTGAACCGAATTGTGAGTGTTGGTGTGGAGTGTGGTGGGGTGGGGTGGAGTGGGGATGACTGGGGAATCTGTGATGGCAGCAGAGGAGCTCCGTCCCGAATGCGGAGTGAACTGGATTGTGAATGTTGGTTTGATGGATGGATGGGCGGGAATTCGTGATGGCAGCAGAGGAGCTGCGGCCTGAATGCGGAGTGAACCGAATTGTGAGTGATGGGATGTGGAGTGCGGTGGGGTGGGGTGGATTGGGGAGTTTGTGATGGCAGCAGAGGAGCTCTGTCCCGAATGCGGAGTGAACCAAATAGTGAGTGTTATGTGTTTTGGTGTGGGGTGGGGTGCGGTGAGGTGGGGTGGGGAAGGTTGGAGTGGGGTGAAGCGTTGTTGTCTTACGTTTATATTCCGCTGCAGAAGCTGCAGAAGCTGGCAGAGGAGAATGGCGTGGAGTGGAGTGGAGTGGAGTGGCCGACCCAACCCAGTTCCATCTCCCACGTTCCCCCTCCTCCCTTCCGTTTCCCCGTCTCCTTGCACCTGTGCTGTACTTACTACAGATCGTGGCTAAACTGTCAGTGCTTTTGAGTCAACTCAAAAGTTTCCCTAGTCTCCCTGCACCTATGATGTACTTACTACAGATCGTGGCTAAACTCTCAGTTCGAGCTCTGTGCTTCCCTCTTGCCCTCTTTTACCTTGTTCACTTGCACCTGTGCTGTACTCACTACAGATCGTGGCTAAACTCTCAGTTCGAGCTCCCTCCCCCGAATCGAAACTAGAGGCGCTGCAGAAATTGGCAGAGGAGAATGGCGTGGAGTGGGACCCGGCGAGCATGCAGAAAGACTTGCTGGCGAAATACGAAGATATGATGGTGAGCGGGGTGGGGTGTGCGCTTACTAACACATTCTCTTGAGTCACAACTTGTGTCAGTGCGGCGGTGACTGGCGGAGGAGAATGGCGTGGAGTGGGACCCGGCGAGCATGCAGAAAGACTTGCTGGCGAAATACGAAGATATGATGGTGAGTGGGTAGGTAGGGGCTGGCTCGTTCCAACCAGCCAGTCTACGCAACTACCCATCCGGACGCCCCCAGAACGCCCCCTCCTCACTACAACGTCTCCTTGTCCCCTTTTCCCCCTCTTCCCCTTTCCCCCTTCCTTCCTTTCCCCTCTTCCGACCCTCGTTCCAATCAGCCGGTCTACACATCTGCCCATCCAGACGCTCCCAGGACCCCCCCTCCTCACGACTCCCCTTCCCCCCTATCTCACTTTCCCCCATTCCCCCACTTCTCCCCTTGTTTTCCCCCTGCTCAGGATCCTCGGTCCAACCAGCCTGTCTACACATCTTCCCATCCTGACGCTCCCAGGACTCCCCCTCCTCACGACTCCATGCCCAACATGTTTGGCCCCGGGCAGCCCTACAATCCCGGGCAGCCCGCAAATGTTCCGGCGGGCAGCCAGCCGTACGAAACCGGCCCTCCATCTGCCCCTCCTCGCACAGAATCGCTGATTACAGCAGATGATTATGAGAAGCGTTGGGTGGGAGGGGCAGGCGGGCAGGGGCAAGCGAATAACTCCCCCCACCCCGCATCTGCTGCTGCCGCTGCTGGTGCTGCTGGTGCCGCTGGTGCTGCCGGTGCTGCTGGTGGTGGTGGCGGTGGCGGTGGTTATGGTGCTGGTGGTGGTTCAGCTGGTTACACTGGCGTGGGTGGTAACCCTCTTGATTACCCAGCATCATCTGTACCCAAGTATGGAGAGGGTAAGGCTTTCAAGAGAGATGCTATGGATTATGCTCCTAGCAGCTACGGTGGAGGAGGGGGAAGAGGAGGAGGAGGGGGAGGGGGAGGGGGAGGGGGAGGGGGAGGGGGAGGGGGCGGAGGGGGAGGGGGAGGAGTAGGGGGAGGGGGAACAGCTAGTAACTACCAGAATCAGGGTAACAACAACCCCAGTGGTGCGTTTTCCACAGAGGAGATTCGGCAGGCGGAAAACGAGGTGGCGAGGGAATTCGATCGTGTGGCTGAGGAGAGAGAGCGCCAGATGGCGGCGATCCGTGAGTCGTCAGAGCGCGCCAGGCTGGCGGCGCAGCGGGCATCAGATGCCGCCCGGATGGCCGTCGGGGGCGGGGGAGCGGGGGGGATGGGGGGGATGGGGGGAGGGGGAATTGGTGCTGGGTATGGATCAGGGGCAGGAGGAGGAGGGGGAGGGATGATGGGCGGACAGGGAGGAATGGCAGTGAATGCTCGTTACGGGCCTAGTGCTTATGGCGGCATGGCAGGTGGATCCCCAGGTGGTTCTGTTGCGCCAGTTGATTCCTCTGTTGGTCCAGGTGGAGGGGGCGGGATGCATGATGGAGAGGAAAGCTTGGATCTGCCTGCTCCCCCCAGAGGAATCGTGGGGGGAAGAGGAGGGGGGGGAGGGGGAGGGGGAGGGGGAGGGGGAGGAGCAGAAGGAGGAGGAGGTGGTGGGTTTGTGGGGGCGAGTGCATTTGACGATTTTGTGGCTAAGTCACCCCGAGCAGGGGAAACAGGTAGTGGTGGCTTTGGGGCAGGAGGAGCAGGAGGAACAGGAGGGTCAGGAGGCACTGGTGGTGGGTATGGAGGAGAGTCAGCAGCAGCAGCAGCAGCAGCAGCAGCAGCAGCAAGCCACGGCACCCCAGCACATGCTTTCGATGACTATGTTGCTCGATCTCCCAGAGGGGGGGGCAACAACAGCAACAGCAACAACAGTGGCACTTTTAACGCCCCGTCCGTCCCAGGTTCGGGCCCCACCCATTCCTCCCACTCAGGCTCGGAATTCCCCTCGGTGCCAGGCTCGGGCGGGTATGGCTCCGGCGCTGGCTTGGGCTACGGTGGAGGAGGTGCGGGGGTAGGCTCGGGGGCAGGTTCGGGGATGGGAGGTTCGGGGATGCAGAGTGGTCTGGGGTCAACTGGACTGTCGGGAGATGTGATGTCTCTACCGGGAATTGATGACCTGGCTGCTAGGTTTGACCGGCTGAGGAAGAGAACAGCTGCATCGGATGACCTGTGAAGGGGAGATAGACAGTTGGACAGGCATGTAGAGGGAGGGAGGGGGTGATCATGATATGATGTCTCTTCCGGGGATTTATGACTCAGCGGCGAGGTTTGACCGGCTGAGGAAGAGAACAGCTGCATCGGATGACCTGTGAAGGGGAGATAGACATTTGGACAGGCATGTAGAGGGAGGGAGGGGGTGCTCACAATGTGATGTCTCTACCGGGAATTGATGACCTGGCTACTATGTTTCACCGGCTGAGAAAGCTGACTGCTGCATCGGGTGATCTGTGAATGGCAGATGATTTTTTGTAGGCACCCACCTTTTGGCCTTTGGCTGTGTGGTGGGCTGGATACCGTGCAGCTTGTGGATGGGTTGGGGTGGGTGGGGTGGGAGAAAGCGCTTTCGTTGCCCATTGTTGTAGAGGCTGGACTGGACTGGACACTAGTGTTGATCGACTCGAAGGAAGAATACCGTCGTAGTGTTGATCGACTCAAAGGCTGTGGTCTGGGCACTAGTGTTGATCGAATCAAGAGGAGTGAATGTGGTTCTATTGATGCTGGGCCGGTTAGGATTGGTTTTGAGACGTCTCAAAACTCTTTTGAGACATCTCAAAACAAGTGGGGGCGCATGCACTGGAAGATACCGTAGTGGGGGTGCATGCACAGGCAAAGTACCCCATTGAGAAAGCTTGCTTTCTTATTCTTATCAATTGGCATCGTTCTCTTGAGTGAGCCGTTTGAAAATAGAGAAACGTGGGTGGAGGAAATGAGCCCCAACCCACGGTTTTTGTAGTTGGAGAAGGGCGTTTAGCGCGCTTCGACGATGCCAATTGTTCAATACAAGCATCTTCGCTTTCACATTGCACAATTTTGAAAAACACAATGTGTGTTTAAAATTTATAATATTGTGAATGTGCTTCTATTGATGCTGGGCCAGATATGATTGGTTTTGAGACATCCCGAAACACGTGGGGGTGCATGCACAAGAAAACTACCTCACAGTGAATGTGCTTCTATTGATGCAGGGCCAAATAGGATTGGTTGGGTGGTGTGTTGTTGCATAGCATGTTGTGGGTGTAGTAGATTATATGTAATTTGTACTGAATCATTCGTGTAGAAAGAGCATTGCCATTGAGGACTGTCAATAAACTGAACGAGAATGAATGCATTGACAAGAAACTGAGTACGTACAAGTACTAACCCTAATTGGGTTGTACCCTTAATGGGCTACCCCATTACAGCCTACACAACATAAGCATTATAACAGTTTGACAAGGACTGGGTTATGTAGTTGCACCATTATTATCAACTATGCGGCAAGTCTCGGAAATAGAATGCAGCGGAATGATGAGACTAGGAAAGCAAGGCAGTAAAAATATGAAACCCTAACTGAGTTGTACTCACTAAGGAGCACCTCACTGCAGCCTATAACAAATAATAAAATTTGACACACCCCCATAGGCTAAGTGAGGGGCATCAAAGCAAGCAGGGTGAACAAACGGTCACAAGTCCAGTCGATATAAGAAGCAACACAAACTCAAGGTGGATCTCAAGGACACCACACAAATTTCGAGCACAAGCAAGCGGCCACAAGGCCAGTTCAGGATAGCACAATATATATAAAGGCAATGACAAGCGAAACACGCAACAAGAGCAACACTACAACAACCGTGTGCCTACCTCAACAAGCCCTAGCTGCATACAGAACTTGTGGTGGTCACCAAGCGTGCCTGGCCGCGTTGCTGTAGCTCTCGCAGGAGAAAGTACCTCACGTCAATATGTTTTACTCTGCTCTCCAGTCGAGGCTCTCGACACAGGAGGATCATGGCCTTGTTGTTAGCGTACAAGGTCGGTGCATAGCGAGGCCGCTCACCAAGGTCGGTGAGCAAGAAGGTCAACCAGCGAAGCTCCTGTGCCAGCATGGCACCAGCAGATCTTTGCCTCTGCACTGGACGAAGCCATATACGACGACCGTGTAGACCTCCACGACACAGCACCAGCACCCAAACCGAAGCAGTAACCCTGAGTCGAGCGCTGAGTCTCCACGTCGTCAGCGTAGGAAGAGTCGTAGTGACTGGTCAACACAACTGGCTGTGTCCCTCCAAGCACAAGCCCCATGCCTGATGTAGTCGCTAGGTACTTCGCCACCCTCACAGCAGCTGACCAGTGAACAGGACTGTGTCTCCCAGTCGCAACAAAGTGAGAGAGGACGCTGAGGGGAAAGGCGAGGTCCGGCCGAGTACAAGTCAGCATGTAGATGAGGCAGCCCACAAGCTCACTCAAAGGGCTAAGGGCCCACCCACAGGATCGATCCAAGGGGATCGACCTGCTCTGATAGCATGTTAGAGTTTAGAAGAAAGAAGAGGATTGCACTAGCAAGAATGGGGATACAAATAGCAAAACCCTAGAAGAGTTGTACTCGCTATAGAGCACCCCACTACAGGCTAGAGCATAATATTCTGACAGTGCGGAGTGGCGTGCAGGCGGCCGACGACGCAAGGAGTGCAAGGTGGAGCAAGCAAGGGAGGGAGCGACGAAAAGACGTGCGGGAGACCTGAGACAAGACTGTGACTGGCCATGTTGTGGAGGCGGGGGAGTGACGGGTGGCCAAGGCGGTGGTGCCATAAGACTATCGGGTGGGCTAGGGACCGATAGGAGCAAGACGCAGCAACTAGACTGGACACGGCAACCTGCCCGGACACAGCAACCTGTGGGGACGCAGTAACCTGACCGGACTCTGCTACCGAGGGGGACGAAGCAACCTGACCAGATGCAGCTACCTGTGGGGGCGGAGTGTGCAAGACGAAGAGACCTGAGTGGGGCTCTCTGGTGAACGTGGCAAGAACTGCCCCGGTGGAAGAGTCCGTACAGATCGCAGTCCTCCCGTGCGCAGGAAAAGTGACTGTGACCCCCCGGTCCTGAAGGTATCCAACACCCATCAAGTTCTGAGAGAACGAGGGGATGTAGAGACCAGTGAGGAAACCAGAGGGGGACAGCTGGGCATGGGAGAGTGGTCGAGCTGCGAGCAACTACTGGTCCTGAAGTAGGATCAGCCAGGGCAACTGGGACAAGAGCCGAAAGAGGAGTGACTGTGGTGTGGTCGCGGAAGAAGCACTAAGACGCGCCGGAGTCCAGCGTGAAGGAGAGCGACGCAACAGCAGTCGTCACGGCTGGGCTAGTGACTACACAAGCACCTACCTACACTAGCAACAGTTAAAGGTCCTAAGCTAGGTACACGCAAGCCAAGAGATCCATATGTGACAGAATAAACAGCATCCATAGACATATCAAACACAGGTTAACCACTACGAAACAGACCGGGCCAGATCGGGGGAGCCGACTCAGGCTCAAAACGTTCACGTTAGAGGTCCTCGAGGCGACTGTAGCAGCGCTGTGCAGAGTGGTCCGGACGCCAGCAGGTAGTGCCAGCACCAGGGCCGGTCAGGATCCAGTACTGGCAGGGGCCGACGTTGCGGCCACCGCGACGAGCCCCCCAGTTGGCTGGGCCACTGCTGTAGCCAACACTACCCGAACCACCAGGCCCCCACGGCTGCTGAGGGCGCCACAGCTGCTGAGGGCAGAGCTGCTACTGAGGGCGCCACTTCTGCTGCGGGTGCCACTGCTGCTGTGGGTGCCACTGCTGAAACTGCCGCTGCTGCTGTCCCTACTGCTGGAGAACCCTAGTGGACGCCATGATAAAGGCTAGCGAGGTGCAGGAGCGGCAGGCTAGGAGCGACAGGAGCTAGGGACTTCTGCAGTGAAAAACGAGAACAACTAGGAGCTCCAGGTGAAACTAGGCTAGGAACGGCCGGAGCACGGAGCAAACTGAACTAGGAGCGCCAGGTGAAACTAGGCGAGGAACGGCTGGAGCACGGAACAAACTGAGCTAGGAGCGCCAGGTGAAACTAGGCGAAGAACGGTAGGGAAAAGGAAAACCCACGGTGAGAAAGCCTGGAAACGGTCTGCTAAGGCTCGAGGCGCGGTAGAGCGTGGCACGCGCCTCGGGAAAGCTGTCGTGACGCGCGCCTCAGGCTACACTGGCTGACTGTGGCGCGCACGTCGCTAGGGAGGGGTCGCGCGCGGGCTGTGGTACGGGGCGCGCGCGGGCTGTGGTGTGGGGGGCGCGCGCGGGCAGGGTGCGGGGCGCGCGCGGACATGGTACGGGGCGCCCGCGGACTGTGGTAAGGGGCGCGCGCTGGCTGTAGCAGGGGCGTGCACGGCTGGCTGGGCGTGGGGCCAGCGCGGCGGCTAGGGGCAGGGCGCACGGGCTACGTACGAGGGGCAGGGCGCACGGGCGACGCGCGGGCTAGGGGCAGTGTGCACGGGCGACGTGACGAGCTGGGGCAGGGCGCACGTGCTATGCGACGGGCTAGGGCATGGCGCACGGGCTACGCGACGGGCTAGGGCAGGGCGCACGGGCGACGCGACGGGCTGGGGCAGGGGCCACGGACGACGCGACGGGCTGGGGCGGAGGCGCGATACAGAGGGCGTGGAGGGCGCCTAGGGGAGGGCTAGGCGCGGAGGGCGCGGAGGGCGCGGAGGGCGCGGAGGGCGCGGAGGGCGCGTTACGGAGGGCGCGTTACGGAGGGCGCGGAGGCGCGCGGCGGGAGGCTAGGGCGCGGAGGGCGCTAGGGCGCGTGACGAAGGGTGCGTAAGGCGCGGAGGCGCTCTAGAGCGCGGAGGGCGCGAGGGCGCGGAGGGCGCGAGGTAGGCTAGGCTAGGCAAGGATTCTAAACCTACTCGTGATACCATCTCAGAAATAGAATGCAACGGAATGATGAGACTAGGAAAGCAAGGCAGTACAAATACGAAACCCTAACTGAGTTATACTAACTAAGGAGCACCTCACTACAGCCTATAACAGATAGTAACATTTGACAGCTAGAATATGTTAGGATCTATGGTGATTTATAAGTTGCACTGATGAGGACCAGAAGAATCTACAAGAGCATGGTATTCTCATTAGTTAGTTGTTGATATGATGTATGTATCGCACATCAGCTTGTCTAAAGACTTTTCAGATGTTACAATACAATCTGTTTGCCCCTAAATTCTACCCTACACCTACTACACCTGCACAGCAGGGGTTTGTATTCAGAGCAACTACAGTGCCGTGTTTCATGCACTCATACTAAACCCCCATGACCTGTGCTATTTTGGGTCAAGAGTCCCAAGAATCCCCATTTGCAGACTCTCATCCCCCATCCACCCACACCCATTCCCACCCACACCCATCGTTGCATGCCCCCATCTCCCCCCCCCCCCAGTCATCAGTGGTTGAACGGTCCCCCTCTCAGAGTCTCATACCCCCCACCGCCAAGCCCACCCCCCCCTGCCCCAGATCCCCCAGCAGTGGCAGGGCCTTGGGCGCTCATGCTCCACCCCAGCATACCCATTGTGATCACCGCTGCTGCACCCAGGGGAACGTCACCATGAGCACCACCATCATTGTGTTTACCCCAGAGTCGTTGAGGGAAAGAGGAACCATATATCACACATCACCCATCACCCATCACACATCACACATCACCCATCACCCATCACCCATCACACATCACCCATCACCCATCACACATCACCATCATCACCCATCACCCATCACCCATCACACATCACCCATCACCACCCATCACCCATCACCCTTTAGTGCTCTATCATCGACCAAACGGGCCCCCTTGCAGAGTCTCATACCCCCCCCCACCAAGCCCACCACCCCCACCCCCAGCAGTGGCGGGGCCTTGGGAACTCATGCTCCACTTGCGATACTGACTCCACCCCAGCATACCCATTGTAATCACTGCTGCTGCACCCAGAGGAATGGTCACCATGAGCACCACCATCATTGTGTTTACCCCAGAGTCGTTGAGGGAAAGAGGAACCATATATCACACATCACCCATCACCCATCACACATCACACATCACCCATCACCCATCACCCATCACACATCACCCATCACCCATCACACATCACCCATCACCCATCACCCATCACCCATCACCCATCACCCATCACACATCACCCATCACCACCCATCACCCATCACCCTTTAGTGCTCTATCATCGACCAAACGGGCCCCCTTGCAGAGTCTCATACCCCCCCCCACCAAGCCCACCACCCCCACCCCCAGCAGTGGCGGGGCCTTGGGAACTCATGCTCCACTTGCGATACTGACTCCACCCCAGCATACCCATTGTAATCACTGCTGCTGCACCCAGAGGAATGGTCACCATGAGCACCACCATCATTGTGTTTACCCCAGAGTCGTTGGGGGGAGCAGGAGGGGCGGTGGTGGTGGTGGTGGTTTTCGGCTTGATGACTGTTGAGGTGTTGTAGGAATCGGGGAGCATTTGTGGGACGGTGGTGTTGGGAATACCGGCACCTGGGAAAGGGAAGAAAGCAGGGGGGAGAGGGAAGGGGAAAGAGAGGAGGGAACGAGGGAAATGGTGAGACGGGGGAAACGGGGTCAGGGAATGGTCACCATGAGCACCACCATCATTGTGTTGACTCCAGAGACGGGGGGAGCGGGAGGGGGTGGACACCTGCAAAGTAGTGGACGGGGAGAGGGGTAAGGGATAAGGGAAATGGGGGAATGATCACCATGAGCACCACCATCATTGTGTTGACCCCAGAGTCGTTCGGTTGTGGTGGTGGTGGTTTTCGGCTTGATGATTGTTGAGGTGTTGTATGAATCAGGGAGCATTTGTGGGACGGTGGTGTTGGGGATACCGGCACCTGCAAAGATGAAAGGAGGGAGGAAGGAGGGGAAGAAATGAAGGAAATGGTGAGACAACAGGGAAGGTTGTGGTGGCTTTAGGCTTGATGACTGTTGAGGTGTTGTAGGAATTGGGGAGCATTTGAGGGACGGTGGTGTTGGGCATACCGGCACCTGGAAAAGTGGAGGGAAGGGGAGAGGAGAAGAGGGGAGAGAACAAGGAAAATCACTGGTGGCGACGGCGCACACCTTCCCTGTGGTGTACACACTTCTCTACACCTTCAAAGCAAAAAGAAACACAAACTGGCAACCAAAAAAGAGTGCATTCTCACCATCATCAGGAGGCGGAGAAGGCTTGGGAGCAACCACCGGCGGCGACGGCGACGGCGACGGCGGATTCAGCGGGTCAATCGGGTCAGTCGGAGTCAACGGGCCATTCGCGCCGGGCGGCGGGTCAAACGGACTAGCGAACGGGTTGTTGGGATCGGACGGGTCCACTGCTCCCACATTGGGCAGCGACTTCGGCGGGATCTGCACCTTCGGATTCGGTGCGGGCGGCAGCGTCGGCACTTTCGGTTTCGGCTTTGCCACTGGCGGTTTTGGCTTTTTTATCAGACCCGCTTTAGGGTCCTTTCGACTAGGCTCCAACGGGAAACTCGCCACTTTGCCTTTAAACGGGTTAAGCGTAAACGAGTCGGTGGCTGTTCGTTGCGGAACGGGGATGAGATCGAACGGTAACGGGTTGACATTATCGGGTATGAGGGGACCGACAGGGGGGGCTGGTGACGGGTCGACCGGTTTCGGGTTGGTGATTTTCGGCGGGAATGATATAACCGGGGGATTTTTTACCGTGAAAGGCGGGACGATTGTAATGGGAGGTAAGTTGGCGGCCGGATCGCTCGCAATTGGCGGCGTCGAGTCGCCATTTTTCTTCCCGTGCTTCCCCTTCTTTCCGTGGTGCCCCTTACGTCGGCTCGATCCCCTCCGTCCTTTCTTCCTGCTGCTTGATCGTGAGCCGTTGGATGAACCCCTTTCCCTCCGGCTCCCATCTCCCTCCGTGCTCCCGCCATCTGGGTAGTCCCCTCCGTCTCCGGACGAATCGCCGTTGTAGTCACCTCCGTCCCCGCTATAATCTGATCCATCCCCGTTACTGTCGTCAACACTCCGCTTCTCCCGGGCGTTCATGTCGGAGTAATCCTCGTTGTCACCTGAACCTTCCGTAGACCCTGACCCTTCGCCATCACCACCATTATCGCCACCTCCGTCGCCACCTCCGTTGCCTCCGTCGCCGTTGCCATCACCACCCCCATCGCCGCCTCCGTCGCCGCTGTCACCACCACCATCACCCCCGTTGCCATCACCACCCCCGTCGCCGCCTCCGTCGCCGCCGTCGCCGCTTCCACCCCCATCACCGCCGCCGCCGCCACCTCCGTCGCCGCCGCCGCCATCACCACCGTCAGAAGAAGACCCTTTAGAATGCGACGAGCCTTTCGAATGAGAACCAGAGGAGGAAGACTTCTTTCCTTTCTTCTTGGAGCTTTTCCCTCCTCCGTCTCCTCCTCCGTCTCCTCCTCCGTCCCCGCTGCCGTTTCCGTTGCCGCCGTCTCCGTTTCCGTCACCACCGCCACCGTCGCCGCCGCCATTTCCGTCACCGTTTCCGTCACCGTTACCCGATGACCCGTCGCCCTCTCCCTGCGTATAGCGCTTCTTCGAACCCTTCTTATGTTTCTTCGACGAGCCGCTCCTGCTGCCGCTCCCGCTGCCTTTCCCGTCTCCCCCGGAGCTCGAACCATGCTTGGAACTTTTCTTTGACCCCTTCTTCTTCGAACTCTTTTTTTTATGACCCTTTTTCTTCTTCTTTCCAGAGGACGACGACGACGAACCTCCCCCTCCGTCTCCTCCGCCGCTCCCTCCTCCGTCTCCTCCACTCCCCCCTCCTCCCCCATCTCCGACACTCTCTTGAACCCTTTTCCCGTCACTTCCTCCGTCGCCTGACGAACCTCCGTCACCACCTCCGTCGCCGCTGCCAGATGACGAGTCCCCGTTAGAAGAGGATCCGCTATCGGACGAGCTTGAGCCGCTGTCACCACCATCAGATGAAGAGCTCTTCTTACTCTTTTTCTTTTTCTTGGATCCAGAGGAAGAAGAGGAGGAAGACGAGTCGCCGCCATTCCCGCTGCTCGAAGAAGACGACTTCTTCTTACTCTTTTTCTTCTTAGAAGACGATGACGACGACGACGACGACGACGAGCCGTCGCCGTTTCCAGAACCCGACGACCCGGACGAATCACCACCGCCGCTGTCAGAGGACGACCCCGAAGACCCTGACGAATCTCCTGACGAATCTCCTGAAGACGAACCGCCGTTGCTATCAGACGACGATCCGCTGCTGCCAGAACTCTTCTTGAATTTCTTCTTTTTAGAAGATGATGACGATGACGATGACGAGGACGATGACGATGACGATGACGATGAATCTGAAGATGAAGATGAGGAAGAGGAGGAGCTCGACGAATCAGACGACGAGGAGGAGCCTGACGAATCGGACGACGAGGAGGAGCCCGACGAATTATCTGAGGAACCGCCGGAACTTCCACCTCCGCCATCCCCGCTACCGCCGTCGCCAGAAGAAGACGAAGATCCTGAGGAGGACGATTTTGAAGATGAACCGGAGCTTCCAGAGTCTGACGACGAAGATGACGAGTCGCCACCGCTGCTGCCGCCGCTGCTGCTGCCGCCACCTCCGTTGCTACTGCCGGAATCTGACGACGAAGACGACGAATCACTGCTGCTGCTGCTGCCTCCTCCGTCGCTACTGCCGGAACCCGACGAGGAACCCGAGTCACCAGAACCGGATGACGAGGATAGTCGTCGCGCGACAACTTCAAGGTCGTCCTCAGGTTTCTGGGGATAGACAGGTTTGGGAAAGGCAAAAGAACAAAATATATCAAATAAAAAACAGGGGGTACACTCTGCAGAATAGCCTTCAAACAAAGAAAAGGTCGATTGAGTTCGGTTCCTGCTTGTCATAATTTTTCCTCCGTTTGTGTACTTGTCTGATAATTCACAGATCGATGCTATTGTTAGAGAATGGCGCATCCCACTCACCGTTCTCTCGGACGATGTCGGTCCATTCAACAAGTGCCACGTGTCCATATGCCCGGCGGATCCGGTTCCTTCTCCATTTCTTCTTGCAACGTCTGAAAGGAACGCGACAGCAGGAAAATGAAAAATGGTCGTTAGGAACCAAATAATCGGCATTGTTATTGTAACGAGGGCTGCTCGCACAAAAATGCCTCTTATCCTGGGGTCAATCTGATCAACGGAAACTTGCTCGTGTGACTTCCTTTGAATTCCCTGCTGCCTCGCTTGCAATGCGCCACTACAACTACACAAAAAAAACTCCAACTCAGCCACGACGGCTCATGCGTCGCTTATGGCTCGTAAAAACAATTTGTTTCTCATCTTCCGTTGTAAATCGTGGAGTAAAAGCCCGACACTATCCTGCTTCTACAGAGTAAAAGAATCAAATCTGTACCTTGACTTTGTGCGGGAGTTGCCGTGTGCAGGATGATAACAACAGTGACGAGGAAAACGAAGACGGAGGATACCGACAGGCCCCTCCTTTTTCCTTTCCCCATAATCGCCAGCTCAGGTAACATTAGTGGTCACTAAGTCGTTGCCTATTCTACTCCATGCAACGACGACTAAAAGAAAAAGGTTGCCGAGTGTGCCGACGGAGCTGATCTTCTCTACACGACGGAGCTGACACGACAGCTTTCTTCACTATCTCTTTTTAGAGGTTGATACGACCCTTAGAGCACCCTACACATCGAGGCTACGAGACGACGGCTGCTACTAGATCGATACGACAAGGTGAGCCTCGCAGCGTCGTTAGCTAGGGATGGCAGAAGCTCGAACGCAAGCGCCTTCGCGGCAAGACTTTAGAAAAGGGCGGCAGAGTTATTTCATCAATAACACTCTACTGGATCTGCTGGATCGGGTTTGATGATCTCTGACGAAGGGCAACTGCTATGCGCCACTGCAATGCGCTTGGACGGAGCAGAGATAGCAGACAGGAGCAGTTCGGTGTCACTCTGGTTGTCTAACTCCAACGCCTATTCGTCTGACTGAGACATGGAGGTTCAGTCTGGCCAAGGGAGACTCGAAAATCCGGTCAGCCGCCAAGGGCTGGGCGTGGTTGAGAAAAGCGACTGAATCACATGCACGTGAAAAACGCGTTCCGATAAACGTGCGCAGGCGATGCGGGATGGCGGCCTACTAGCACGCCAAGGGTGCAGGCTGGAACCGCGACGAATGACGTGTTCGTGATGAGCCGAGGGGCTATACGAGGAAGGGATTGGTGGTAGTGACTTCTAGCTTCCAAGGTGTTGCGAGAGCGCGAGGTGGTGTGGGTGGAGTGCAGAGAGAATCAGCCCAGCTGAAGTGAAGGTTGCGTGTGTTGCATGTCAAGCGAGACCACAGCTCACAACACCAACGCAACCAAGGGCTGGGAACGTGCGGAAGGGGAAGAAATTACTGGATGTGCGGGGGCAACAGAGATGGCTGGTTGTTGGGTCTCATGGTTAGGAAAGAAATAGGTCCAGGCAATGTGGGATCGAGTCGCACATTGAGGTTGGAAAACTAGCGCTTCGGGGACGTGGCTGGTTGACTCTTTCGTGGTGCAGGGTGCCATGTCAGACGCTCACTGCGCATTCTGAACGCACGTTGCGGGACTCACGGTGAGCCTTCAGTTTCGGTCAGCGCGGGTCTCGTAGGAGGGCAACATGGAGAGCACTCTGGGGAAAATATGCCGTTCGTAACCATCATGGGACTCGAAAACATTTTTGGTAAAAAAATAAAGGGTACGGTCACTGCAAAGGGTGTTTTCACGCGACTGATAAAGCGTTTCACGGAATCAGTCACAATCAGCTGGTAAAAAAAAACGCAAATGGTCACAGATGAAACTCCCGCCAAAACAAAATGAAACCCAGAAAGAACCTGGATGCATTTTCGGGAGGATATACCTCAGCCGACAAAAACTGCCGCCCAATTTCGCGGTTGCGATAGGACAACGGCCCTCCTCGGGATTGACGAACTCCCGACGACTCCGAGTGGCAAACTGGGGCGAAATGGCAGACCTGACACCTCGGGACTGTCGACGATCTGACGACCTCGGGTTTCGCTGAGATAAACCCGAGAAGGACATCTCAGCGGACAAAAACTCACAGCACGACACGTCGAGCCGCGATTTCAGCGCGGGAACTCCACTGCGCGCCCAAATTTGTCGGTGGCCGATCCACGCGGCGAAGATCTGTCCGTAAAAAAATGTTACAGTTGTCTGGCATCGCGAGCTGCTCGCCATGTCGGTGTCGACTAAGGATCCAACGGGATTGTCCGGACCACGAAAGTCGGCGTCGACCACGAGGGCTCACGGTGGGCTTGCCACGCGGCTCTTCAATAACTCCGTGCCCTTAGGCAATGGAAGTCGGCATGTCGGCGTTTCTGCGTAGAGGCACCAATGATGGGCCCACGCCACGTAACGCACGCACATACCACCGTGGACGTGCCCAGGCTTACGCCCCGTGAGTGCAGCGCGGCGACCCATTAGCCATGCATGGCTCGTGGCACGTCGGACACTGCGCCGCCGCACGAGAACACATGCATAGCGGCACAAGCATAGGGGGTTGCGTGAAGCGCGGCAAAATCGGGAGTCGCTCACGACCATACCCCTCCGTGACCTTGCGCTGGTGCTCATTCCATTGTGCGTTCCTGCGTTCCTTCCTGCTCCCTCTTCCACTTTGAATTTTCCTCTCCCTAGCTATCTTCGCGAGTGTGGGTTACTCGTGCGCCGACCAATCGATCACGTCGGCACCGGTAGCGTGTTTAGGTAACCGATCACAACTAACTAGGTCGGCGACGCATGTCCAGAGCACGGCCTAGAGCCCAACAGCCGCAACCCATCCCACCCCCTGCCGACTCTGTAGACGCCGACATCAAAGCACAGCTGGAACGCCTCGAGCTCGCCGCCGAGTTAGAAGCACTTGAGAGAGAATCCGACGAAGACGCCTGAGCAACTCATCGGGTGTACACCGCACCCGCGACTCAGTACCGTCTCTGGTGGTCCATCCCTTACCTCGAACACGGTCGACGGTATAGCAAACTACGAGCGGCCTCATGGCAGACGTCGACATGCCCGACGTTGGTCCCCCAACCGACCACATTGACACCTCTACCCCCGAAGAGACGCTCAAGTTACTCTACGATCTTGACGCACTGACACAGATTCCAGAAGGGGAGTTCACCAAGGACATTCCCCCACCGCCGATAGGAGAGTTTACCAAGCCAGCTAGTAAGTCCACACCGACGCAAGATGGGCAGCCTGGACCTTCGTCGGTACCGGGCGGCTCAGGAAACCAGGTTGATGAGGAGGAGGAGGAGGACGAGGAGGAGGAGAGCGACGACGAATACGACGAGCGTCCTCCGCGTAGCACGAATCCGCGCACCTTGGAAGAACGCCTCCGGCGGGAACTTGAATACATAGATGACATGCTAGAACAGGACGAGGACGAGGACGAGCAGAACATGGCGGTGCCACGCGAACAGTGGAGAGCAGCAGACTTCGTCGAGGACGACATGGTTTACGCAAGCATCGACGTGCTGGTCATAGACGCCCTACGCCACCTGCAAACCTTGGAGAAGAATAGCACGCTGAGGCTGTACACCTCGTTCATCTACCATTACAAGAGGTGGGCGGCGAAAATGCTGACGCAAATACGCGACAAGCTTCCCCAGGAGCACAGGCTTAGGCACGTCGACGAGATCGGCCACTACATCCGGGACAACAAGAAGAAGAATTGGGACAAAGTGGCCGAGGTCCCCCGAGAGTACATCTGGCTGCACGGCCCTAGGGTAACCGAAACCCGGCTGCGCGCCTATGTGAAGTTCATGATACGTGAGTGTCAGCTCGATGCCGAGTCGATCGAGGAGGGGAACAATGCCCCGCGAACCCAGCCGGTGCAAGGTACAACGGTGCACACGCTCCTCGGGCGCATAAAGGCATGCCAGATGGCGGCGAGAGTGGAGGCGACGCTCTACCGGGAGAAGGAGCTGAGCATCATGCGAGAGATATCGGTGGTCAGATCGGAGGTGCGGTTCATGGTCCGCACCAAGAACGAGAGGGACGTCAAGTAAGTTTGTCGACACCGCCAACCTCTGTCCATGTCACTATGAAGTCGACGCCGTCAAACTCAAAATACTCGGTGGCTTTGTGGGCAGGAATTGTGCCGACCGGCGTCGCGGCACCATCGGCGATACATACACCGCCGAACAGTTCCGCCAGATCATGGTGAAGGTGCTGCCGACATGGGCGGCGTCGGCGTGGAACCCGCGGGCAACCGCTCCTTCGCAGACGCTGTGGCGATTTCTGCTCACCAAGGCGCTCACGCTACTCTCCCACCACACTCTCCTGCGAGGCGCCAGCATCCGCGAGATCACGCTCCCCGACATCTTCTTGTACCGACTGGCTAGCACCTCGTCGATAAACCCGGAGAACCAGCCGATCGTCATGGTGATCGCCGCGCGGAACTCGAAGACTTCCAAGGATGCCCGTCTTCAGCAGAGCTACGCGGCGCGACACCTGGAAGCGGAGTTGTGCGCCGTCGGCGAGACCGGCCTATGGTTGCACTTCATCCTCGACCAGATCGGTCAGTTCAACGGCGTCGACTTCCTTCCGCCGCTTGACACCACCGAACGCGAGCGCTGGTACAAGAAGCACCTCTTCTTCGCCCGCAACGACAAGGAGCAAAAAGAGCTCTCCGCCTCCAGCCACCAACGTTGGACGCGGCAGTTGTGGACGACCAACAAGGTGTTCTGCAAGCGGAACGTGCACGCCGCTCGCGCCGGAGGTGCGCAGGAGCTAGCCATTGAAGGGACGCCTCGCGCCGAGATCGCCGAGCTACTCGGGTTGCAAGCAAGACTACTTCTTGGGTCGCAGCAGGGTCGAGCCCTCCGACAAACTCTTGGACATCATCGCCGAGCACATCTTCCCCGGCGTGGATGCTCTGCTGCGCGATGTATGTTAATAGACGCCGACAATGACCTTATGTCGCCATTGCTTCGTTGGCTGCCCATGGCCTTACTAACCCACATCACCTGCCGATGTGCAGGCGGAAACGCGAGCTGCCAAAGAAGGGAGCGACGCCGACAAAGCCGCCGTGCACTTCTGGCGTACCCTCCAGATGATGCGCCGCATCGTCGCCGAGGACCTCGCGGTGAAGCTCGTCCGCACCCCTTGGCACCCATACGTCCAAGGTTCGAAGCTCTGCCGGATTGCCCTCTTTCAGCACTGGGCGAAAAGGGTCGAGAAGATCGACACCGAAACGATCAACAAACGCCGGGACCCAACCTCATTCAGGCAGAGGTAAACCGTCGCTAAAGTCGGCGTCGTCGGGACCCTATCTGTTACGGGTGTATTCTAAACAATTTTCGCCTTTCCGCCTTGTGCTGCAGGAAATCTCCGTTCGCTTGGACACCGAATACCATAACATGTCCCTCAAGGAGACGCTGAAGTACGAGAGGGAGCGCGCCGCGGTCGAGAAGATCGACCTTCAGGATGAACTCGAGAAGCGCGACGATACCATCGCGACGCTGTCCGCCGAGATAACCCGTCTCACCGAGGCACTCCGTGTGTCAGAAGCACGGAGGATGCCGGAGACGCCGCCGTCGGGAAACGAGCAGACGCCGAGCGAGAGTGGCTTCGCGGATTCGGCCAGTCCGGGGGCCAGAAACAAGAAACGGTACGAGAAACCCCCACAGACGCTCGACGAGGCTCGTTACGAGCTCAACGTGGTGCAACCTTGGCGGGAGTCAAAGACCGTGAGGGACGCTTGGCGCCTCTGGAACTCCGCCACCGCCGATGACACCCGCCGTCTTTGCGATAGGGTCGCCGAGCCGGGATTCGTCGACCGCCACACCCTCCTCAAAGGCGCGACGCAGGGTGCACACGACATGAAGGTGCGCCGCATGCTGAAGGCCATGGATGCGGTGCGCCTTCTTCGCTCGAGCGACGGCGATGCCGACACCGAAGCCGTCGTCGCTGCCCTGAACAAGATCGCGGCGCCGGGCATCGGGACCTTCTGCGATGCCCTCACGGTGCTCAAACCGGGAACCGCACCGACGAAGTCCAAGGAGCCCGGCATGGGCGTCAAGGGGCTGGGCCCCAAGTCGGTCTCGAAGCTACGTCTCGCCTGTGCGCTGGTGGCGGTCAACTTGAAGCCGACCGCTTGGGTCGCCGTCCTGTTTCCAGACACCTGGGAGGAGCAGATGCCGAAGACCGTGGCGGACATGGAGCGGCAGACCGCACCTGTGCTGCGTCCTCCGACGAAGCGCAAGAAGGCGGCATGAGTACCTTCGGAGCATATGCGTGCGCGTAGTTTGATGATGCTGTAATTGTGGTCGATTGCACCAAACCATGATGCTTATTTTGTTCATGAAGTTGGTAAACGATGGTCATACAACAATGCCCATGCGAACATAGATGATCCAACAATGGTAACTGCAGTCGGTCGCCGACCAACAAACACCCCGAAAATACTTGCAGACAGCCAAACCCTCTATGTCGACAGACATCCAACGACGCCGACGTATTTTCGGACTCCGACATATACGCCGACAAAAATTCATCCCCGAGTAGCATTTGAGTGTGCAATTCAGAGGGTAGCGATCAGGTCGACATCTCCGACGAGGGTTCTACATGTCATGCACTACCAAAAAGTTACATGCGCTACCACATAAGCAAACACAAACAAAAAGTTACAAACACTAAAAAGGTTACAAACACACTAGCAATCAGACCACCTCGCGCTCCCTCCGCGCGCCGACTACGCCGCCGTGCTGTCCTTGCCCTTCTTGCCCTTCTTCCCCTTCTTCCCCGTGCTGTCCTTGCCCTGCTTGCCTCTCTGCCCCTTCCTCCCCCTGTGTTCAATGTCGTACTCCATCTGCGCGTCACACGGCACCGCGATGCCGATCTTTTCGAGTTTCGGCCCGGCGACGGGGCACATTCCCCAGAACGCCAATGTCTCCACTGTCGCTCTAGCAATCACGTCGGCTTCGACTTCATGATCCACCCCCGGGTAGACCCGGTGCAGAGCGAGACTCTGCAGCGCCGGCGCGACGTTGTGCGCAACCTCCCCCAGGGGTTGCTCCCGGTCGATCTCGGCCTCCAGCACCGCCTGCATGACCTCCTTGAAGACACCGGCGGTCTTCTCGCTCGCACCGACCACCATCGCCGCCGCCTTCCCTTTGCCCACAGCATCGACCACCTGGGCGTCGTCGTTCTCGACTAAGCACCACACGGCGCAAGCGGAGGCCGATAACGCCTGTGCCGCAATCGCCGTCTTCTCATCAGTATCTCCCTCCTTCCTCGCCGCGCTCGCAGCGACCTTCCCATACGCAGCGCACATGGACACGCGACCTATCATGGCCGACATCATAGCATCCGACTTCTCCTGGCCTTCCTTTGTGACGGCATCGACGGGGAACCAGATCGCCGGCAAGAGCGCGTCGTGGTGCGCATCGCCTGAGCTCTTGTACGCTCGATACTGGCCGAGAATGTCATCGAACCTGTCACACAATCACATGAAACCGAGCGACCATTAGTGACTCCGACATCGTCATCAACACTCGGCCGAAAGGGTATCCGACTTACCGTGTTTTTGGAAGGTACGCGCCCCGTGCCCATATCACCGTCCACATCCCTGTCGGCAAAATCTTGACCTCCTCCCACACCATCCTCCACTTCTCCAACTCGGTTTCCTCCAAGCCGGTGAGCTCGGCCATGAGGACCTTGCTGACGTAGCCGTTGTAGACGATGTACGCAATCGAGTGCAAGTACGCCAGCTCCATCTTCTCGCGCGATTTGCCGATGTATCGATTAGCGCCGAGCACCTTAATCTCGCCCACCCACCCAAGACCGTCGCCCGAGTTGTCGTGGCGGATGCCATGACCCTTCCGTCCTTTCTCCTTCTCCTTCTCCTTCTCCTTCTCCTTCTCCTCCTTCTCCTTCTCCTCTTTCTCCTTCTTCTCCTTCTCCTTCTCCGCCGCCTTCTCCTTCTCCTTCTCCGCCGCCTTCTCCTTCTCCTTCTCCTTCTCCTTCTCCTTCTCCTCCGCCTTCTCCTTCCCTTTCTCCACCGACTTCTCCTTCGCCTTATCCCTCCCTGTCTCGGCCGACATCGCCCGTGTTTTCCTCTGAGAGCTCGCCCTCCCTTTCACTGTGTCGGCCTTCCCCTTCCGTTTCGACTCTCCATCGCCGACAGCATCAGTGGTCATCTTTGGCTCCGCTGAACCAGCGGGGGGATTCGCCAAGGGCTCCACATGCGCCGTGTCCGAGATGGCCAGAGCAGCGGGGTGCCCGGGGCGTTTTACCGATTCCAACAGGTTCTGGATGGCAGCGATGTCGGCGTCGTTGTGGCCTATCGACGCCTGTGCATGGTCAACGGCTCCGCCGCCGGTGGCTAGCGCTGCCCTCACGCCCTTCTCCGCCGCCTCGTTTACCGACGTCGGCGTCGCGCTTGAGCCGGCTTCCGGCCGAGTCTGTGCTGGCGCTGCCGCACTACGTGCGCCTAACCGAGCGCGAAGCAATGCGGACTTTGGGTCCGCAGTTGGATGGGCGGCGACCAGAGGCGCGGTATGTGGGGCACTGGGCGTTGTGGCGGCGACCTGCGGAGTGACCGTGCGGCGTGCTGCTTCGGCGGGGGCGGCATCGACCAAGGGAGGCTGCTGCACGTCCTTGCGATGGGCCTCCATGCGGTGGAGCATTTCCCTGAGCGCGTTCGCCGTTGCGGGCACCTTAGAGGCGGACGGACCGTCGCGGTTAGCCGCAGCATCCTTCGCGTCGCCCTTGGCGGCAGACGGGCCCACTGCAGCTGGAGTAGCCACAAGGGCCGGCCCATCGTTGTTGGCGGCTGACGGGCCGACCGGTGCGCTGCTAGCCGCAGGGGGTTTTCGGGGAATCGACGTGGTCCCCGCGACCCCGACAGACGGTCCCTTGACGGTTCTGGCGCCGCCATCTATCGCCGTTTGAGCGGTTGGGATCTCCTTGTCGCTCAAGCCTTTCCCGCCGTCTTGTGCGGCAACCTCGTCGGCATGGCCCCCATCTGCACTCCCGATTCCATCGCCCTTGCTGTGCGACCTTATCACCTTGGCCCCGTTCTTCTTGAGCTGGTCGACCACGCTCTGACCTCGAGTCCGCGAGCCGCCTGGACCCACCGCGCCGACGCCGCGGCCTCCATCGGCTCCCTTGCTCCGCTTCACGCTCCCTGCATCATCTCCGCCGCCCGCCCTTTTCTGGCCCTGCTTGTCGGCCTCCCTTCGTTGCGCGGGATCGGCGTCATTGGCCGACGGCGACGACGCACGCCGACCAGCCGCCACATTGCCGATCACCTCGGTCATGAGCTTTAACCCGGACGCAACAAACGACTGCTGGGTGGCCTCCGTCACCGCCTTCAACACGTCCGCCTTGAACGACTTCATGAGCTCGTCCGGGAAGGCTGGCGTGGGCTGCGGCGGGGCCGGCGGCTGCACGGCGATGGTGCGAGTTACCGCGGCGGCAATGTTGGCCTGCGCGGCGGCTAGGTGCTTCGAGATGAAGTCCTCCAAACCCAGCTTCGCATCGTCCACCACCGCTTCCACGTGGTTGCCCAAGGCGGCGACCGCTTTTGCGCGTTCAACTGCCATACTTCCCTCCGGACCGTCGATTTCCGCCAACCACGTCGACGCCTTTTCGGCGAAGGACTTCATCGCCTTCCACGATTCGTCCATGTGGTTGGTGATGTTGTCCGTGATGGTTGTCGACACGGCCGACATCGCATCTAGCAGCCGTTTCGCCGCATTATGGTCGGAGATGGCGACCTGGTCGGCCAACGACTGGAGCTTGTCGAGGAGTCCCCGCATCCCCAACACAAACCTGTCCACCCGACCCCTTTCATCTTCAAGCGCCTTCTCCATACGGGCATTTTCTGCCGTCAATCGCCTGTTCTCCTGTCGCAGCTGCTCGACGACGTCCAGCGGTGCCTGCCGACCAGATGCGGAGGAACCGGGATGACCGCGCGCCGCCTTCTTCACCCTAGACCGCTCCCCCCCGGCCTTCCCTGCGGTGGTCTCGGTAGGCGCTTCCACGCCCGTCGGCTTCGTGGCCGCGGCGTTATCCCCTTCTCCAACGACCTCGAGGTCGATAACTTCCTTCGCGTCGCCATCCACATCGCCGACCACGACCTTCTCACCCCCCCCGTGAGCCTCCTCCACGCCGACTTTCTCCTCGTCGGCATCCTCCCCTCCCTTGTTCACAACATCTGCCGACCTCCCAGCCGTTTCCGCCGCTCCCTCTACGTACTCCACCTCCATTTCCTCCAACTCCCACTCGACCTCTTCCTCCTGCTCCCCCTCTTGCTGCTTCTCCGCCTCCTCCGCTTCCTCCTCCTCCTCCTCCTCCTCCTCCTCCTCCTCCTCCTCCTCCTCCTCCTCCTCCTCCTCCTCCTCCTCCTCCTCCTCCTCCTCACGATCCTCATGGTCCTCTTCCTGATCCTCGTTATCCTCCTGGTTCTTCTCCGCGGTCCCAGTCACCGCCCTTCCCGCCTCCTCATCTTCCTTGTCGACGCCGCCTCCGGGCTCTCCGATCGAAGTCCCACGCGCATCATCGATGGTGTAGGCGACACCTATTGCTGTGGATGCCAAAGGGGCCTCCTCGCCGTCGTCGTCACAGGCGTCGGCAGCAACTCCGACATGGCCTGACCGTTTGAGAGCGACGTGCTCCTTGACGAATGTTATCATCCCATTCCGCAGCCCCTTCAACCCCGAAACGTTGACCTTGTCCATGCTGGTCTCACTGCGACGGATGGCGCCGGTCAGGAGATCCATCCTCCTCACCACCCAGCACAACGCGCTCATTGCTAGCAGGCCGGAGCCCGCGTCCCCGTCCCGGACGGCGTCGGGCACTTTCTGCATACAACAGTTCAGAGCGCAAGGATGAGCACCGCGTTCGGCAATCGCATCGCGCAAGGATGACATAGGACGGTGATTCGTTCGGAACTCACATCTCGAACGGGTTGATCGCAGTCGGCGAGCCTGTCCTCCACCTCTTCATCGGAAGGCTTCGCCCACTCCCACTTCCTACCATCGCACCCAAGCTCGGCCAGGACCGCCGCCCGGAAAAACCTGAAGCAACATGGCACAGATTGTCGGTAAGCATGGTTTACGCTGCGCGGCGAAATTGCATGCGTCGTCGACTACACTATCGAGCTCACTTCAGCACGCGGATCGCCTCGTCGCGGTGCCACTGCTTCACGGTCTGCGGGTCAAAGTGCCGGATCGAGGTCCTGATCTTCCCCCCCCCACCCTTCAACAGGTCG